ATACAAGGGTTGAGAAGTGGTTGGATTCTGGATCTGTTTCGAACGTGATGGCTCAATGCTGATGCGTTGAATGTGTGAGAAAGAAGGGTGTCCAGGATGACCCCGACTTTGGGCCTGAGCACCTAGAAGGATGGATTTGTCCTCTTCGGAGTTGGGGAGGATGGCGGGAGGAGCAGGTGTGGGGAGGAGTTTCAGGACCCCAGTTGGGACGTAGAGTGCACAGTGAGTTTGAGAGGATGACGTTGGGTATCCAGGCCGAGGCACTGAGAGGCCGGTTGGCCATCGCGTGGAAGTGCTGAGCAGGCTCTTGCTGCGTGAGTCTGGACTGGAGACAAATCCGGGCGTCCTGAGGAGGTGGATGGGGTTCGAGGCCCCAAGGGAATGCTGGGGGATAGAAAATGGCAATTGCCACAAAGACCTGGGGCGTTTTTCTTTCTTATTTAAATGTATTTTTATTGATTTCAGAGAGAAAGGGAGAGGGAGATAGAAACATCACTGATCAGAGAGGATCATGGATTGGCTGCCTCCTGCACGCCCCCCAGTGGGGATCATGGATCGGCTGCCTCCTGCACGCCCACCACTAGGACATTTGACCCGACAGAAATGGAACCGTTCATAGGTCGATGCTCAACCACTGAGCCACACCGGCCGGGCTCCAGGAACATTTTTCATTCTTCCGGCAGATGTTTGTGGAAGAGCCGGTGCCAGGTGCTGGGGCTTCACTGGGGAGCCAGCTGGAGCCTGCGCCCTGCCCTCGGGGATCGAAGTCAGGCGGTGGCAACGGCCGTGAATGAGGCGCTCTTTCCCAGTGAAGGGACACGTGCAGGTTGTGAGCTCCAAGGAGAGCCATGACAGCTGACCTTGGCTTCTGTGCCGGGTCTGAGTGCAAATTAGGAAAAGGCACCCCTTTCCCTGGCCAGAGGCAGTCCAGTAGGATAGGCCCTCTCCATACATGGCTCTTTGCATTTGGGATAATTAAAAATAAATAAGATTTTAAAAGTCATTTTTCAGTAGCTGTCACCTCGTTTCCGGTGCCCAGCAGCCAGCCACCTGTGACCGGTGGCTCCCTGATGGGGTGCAGACCCAGACGTTCCCCTCGCTGTGGGGAGCTCCGTTGCAGGAAGCTCCATCCGAAAGGGTGACGGTTAGGATGAAGGTCAGGTCTCCAGCATCTACAGTGGTGCCTCTTAGGCCTGGCCCCTCTGTACAGTGCACGGCCGCCCGGCCGCACGGCGGGAGCTTCCAGGGAGGGCAGAGGAGCGGGAACAAAGGAGGAGGAGGAGAAGCTCAGTAGTGGGAGGGAAGGAGGCGGGGAGGGGCCCTGGAGAGTGTCCCAACAGCATACGCCAAGTCCCGGGCCCGAGGAAGGAATGCAAGTGCCGCTGGTGTTGAGGGGCCGGGGGTGGTGGTGTCAGGCTGGGGGGGGGGGGCTTGCAGGCCCCGGGGCAGAGCCTGCTCCTCGGAGGGCCGGGGGAGGGTCCGGGCAGGAGAGTGACGTGGATCTGTGATTCCTGATCCATCACTTCCTGTGCCTCGGTTTCCACATCTGTAAGCGAGGATAGCGGAAGCACCATTCTCACATTGCAGGAATGTGTATAACATGCTTCAAAAGGCGCCTGATGCCCTGGCCGGTTTGGCTCAGTGGATGGAGCATCGGCCTGCAGACTGAAGGGTCCCGGGTTCGATTCCAGTCAAGGGCACATGCCCAGATTGCGGCCTCGGTCCCTAGTGAGGGGCATGTGGGAGACAGCTGATCAATGAGTCTCTCTCATTATTAATGTTTCTGTCTCTCTCTCCCTTCTTCTCTGAAATAAATAGAAATATATATTTTTTTAATAAGAAGGTGCCTGACCCGTAAGTGCTGCTTAATGTGCGCCATTCTGTTATTACTGTCGCTTGCTAAGCTGTCCCCAGCTGCTGAGTAGGAAACAGATGGGCAGGGGTGGGGGCAGAAGGGCTGGGGGAGGCCATTGGGGAGGCTGACCTCACCCAGGCAGGAGGAGGCTACGGTGGTGTGGACGGGGAGAGAGCTGGGAGAAGGGGTGATCTGCATGGAGCTGGAACCGGGAGGTGGGGGTGAGGGGTGGGGGTGGGTGTTACTGTTTGAGGGGAGAGAGCAGCCAGGGTCACCTGACATCCAGGCGTGAAGCCCTGGTGAAGGTGGAATTCCCAGAGAGGAATCTGGCTCGCGGTGGATGTTTGAAGAATATAGATTTCTTGCCCTAGCCGGTTCGGCTCAGTGGATAGAGCATCGGCCTGCCGACTGAAGGGTCCCAGGTTCGATTCCAGCCAAGGGCACAGGCCAAGGTGTGGGCTCGATCCCCAGAAGCGGGTACACAGGAGGCAGCTGATCAATGATCCTCTCTCATCATTGATGTTTCTATCTCTCTCTCCTTCTCTCTTCTTCTGAAATCAATAAGGAAATGTATATATATTTTAAAAGAATATAGATTTCTTTCTCCTCCAACTCTGAGGTTCCCTCAGTCTCAAACCGCAGCTCGGCACTGGGCACGGAGTCTCGATGTGGCTGGTGGGACCTGCTCTGTCAGCCGGGGCTGAGGGACTGAGACACGGCCTTTGCTTTGGCCTCCCGTCCTGGCCTCCCCAGCCCCGTCCCCCGGGAGTTAGTTCAGGAGAGGATCCGTTGGGCATGACCCTCCCTGCATCACCCGGCTCCATTGTCTGAGGCCCTGGGCCTCCCCACCCCGAATCATCGCCCGCTCATTCCTCCCACTGGACATGTGCCACTAGACATCCAGGCGGAGACGTCAGAGGTCATTGAATCTGCCGAAACCGGTTTGGCTCAGTGGATGGAGCGTCAGCCTGTGGACTGAGGGGTCCCGGGTTCGATTCCGGTCAAGGGCATGTACCTTGGTTGCCTGCGCATTCCCAGTGGGCGTTGTGCAGGAGGCATCTGATTGATGATTCTCTTTCATTGATGTTTCTGACTATTTCTCTCCCTTCCTCTCTGTAAAAAAATCAATAAAATATATATTTTTTAAAAATATCATTGAATCTAAGAGTCTGGCACTCAGGGAAGAAGCCAGGGATGATTGAGGGGAACCGGTTTTGTTAGAGAGTAGGGATTTCTGAGCATGCTCTCTCCTAGTCGACGTGGCCATAAATCCCAGCTGCAGCTAACAAGATAGCCTTACAGGACAGATCCCTGTCAACTTTCCTGATAACAGAATGCAGATACCCTACCAGGCGCCAGGACCCTATACATGACATGCTGACTTTACCCAAGAAAAACTACTGTGTTCAAATTGTTTTAAAATTGTTTGCTCTGCAAAAACAGGAGGCAGTGAATGGGTATAAATACGGTCGGACACAAGGGGTCAGGGCTGCGTGGAGAGAGCAGTCAGCCGGCCGGTGACTTAAAGGCTCCCTACATTTTAATTTGGTCGGGACGCCAGGGGTCCTTTACGCGCATTCGCTCCACAAAACTTTGAGACAGGAAATCCAAAATGGTGGTTTTATTGAAAGTTTGGAAATTGGGGTGGTGGTGGTGGTGGAGGTGGTAGTGATCTGTAGGCGTGGCGTATTGGATTCGAGGTGATTGAGACATCCAGAAACAATTGTCAAGTAGAGAGTTTATATCAGTTCATAGTAGGGGTGTCGAACTCAATCAGAGAAGGGGCCAAAATCTAAAATCCAGCCTAAATCGCGGGCCGAATGGTTTACTGAACAGTCATAAACTGTCATTGTGATGGAAACGCAGCGGAGTGCAGTGATGACAGCGCGGTGCGGGCCACATTGCAAGGCCTGGCGGGACGGATTTGGCCCGCGGGCCTTGTGTTTGACACATGTGATAGAGGCTTAGCTGCTGTAACAAGCAGACCTCAGAATCAGATGGTTTAAAGGAGGTGGAGATGATTTCCCTCCCATTTAACAGCCTGGAGTAAATGGGCCAAGGTGCATAGGTCACCTTGTTCCACACACATTTATGCCGGGACCCAGGTTCCTTCCATTTTGTTGCTCTGCCATCCCTCAAGGCCATGGTCGGCAAACCACGGCTCGAGAGCCACATGTGGCTCTTTGGTCCCTTGAGAGTGGCTCTTCCACAAAATACCACATGCGGGCACGCACGTACAGGGCGAGTGAAACTTTGTGGCCCATGTGCAAAAGCTGGTTTTTGGCTCTCCAAAGAAATTTCAGTCGTTGTCCTGTTGATATCTGGCTCTGTTGGCGAATGCGATTGCCGACCACTGCTTAGGGCATTGTCTTCACCTCTGTGTGGTCAGAACTGGGTCATAGGTAGAACAGTGTTCTCAGCTAGCAGAAGCAGAAAAGAGTGGGAGTTTCTGGGGAGGGGGGGGCGGGGACAAGAATTGAGGGAGAGCCCTATCCAGTTTGGCTCAGTGGCCAGAGCGTCGGCCTGTGGACTGAAGGGTCCCAGGTTCAATTTCAGTCAAGGGCATGTACCTTGGTTGCGGGCACATTCCCCAATAAGGGGCGTGCAGGAGGCAGCTGATGTTTCTCTCTCATTGATGTTTCTAACTCTCTATCCTCCTCCCTTCTCTCTGTAAAAAACCAGTAAAATATATTTAAAAAAAAAGAATTGAGGGGGAAGGTGCACCCATCAATTCTGTTCCCATTCTATGGCCTTCGTCCCCCCTGCCCACACCTTACCTCAAGGGAAGCTGGGAAATGTAGTTTATTTGGGCAGTCAGTCCCTGGCCACCTTTACTCTCCTTCCTGTGGGAGGACAGGGGACTGAGTGCTCATGCTCTGGAGGTGGGTATTGAGTCTGGAGCTTGGAGGAGAGGTCCAGGTTGGAGAGGTGAGTGGGCGGTTATCCGCAGAGAAGGTGTCTGAAGGCATGGGGATGGCGAGGCCTGTTAGAGCAGGCGTGAAGAGAGAGAGGGAAGAGGGGCCCAGAGCCAAGCCCTGGGGTACCCCATCATTTAAAGGATGGGTCCGGGAGCATCATGAAGTTTACCCATGATCCCTCGCACTGTGACCTAGCCTGTTTTTCTTCTCTCTGACCCTCTCCTCAGGCTTTATATGACCCCATCAACCCGGACAGGGAGACCCTGGACCAGCCTTCGCTCACGGACCCCCAGCGCCTGTCCAATGAGCAGGAGGTGCTTCTGGCGCTGGAGCCCCTGCTGGCCCAGGCCAACTTCTCCCCACTCTCCGAGGACACCCTGGCCTACGCTCTCGTGGTCCACCACCCTCAGGACGAGGTCCAGGTACCTGTCTTCCCGGGAGAACCAGCACTCCCAGGAGGCCTTGGGGCAGGGGCGGGCCGTTGGGGGAGGCAGGCGCTGCTGGGAGTTGGAGTCCTGGACACAGGACACTTGCCCATGGGGCACCTTTGGTGAATTAGAAAAAGACACCGCTTTCCCAGGTCCCTTCACTGCCCTCTGTTGGGAAAGTGTCACAAAATACGGATCTTCTTAGAACTAAAGATTTTATTACCAGCTGCCAGAACATTGTAATGATAAACAATACAAAATGCTCATTCTCAAAGTCAACAAAATTATAATGAAAATGCTAACATTTTCCAAAGTTCCACATTTTTGGACTTTAAGATGTATTTTTTTTTTTTTTTTTTAATATTTTATTGTCACCCTAACCAGTTTGGCCTGCGGACTGACGGGTCGCAGGTTCAATTGCAATCAAGGGCATGTACCTTGGTTGGGGCACATCCCCAGTAGGGGGCGTGCAGGAGGCAGCTGATCCATGTTTCTTTTTCTTTTCTTTTTCTTTTTCTTTTTCTTTTCTTTTCCTTTTTTCTTTTTTTAATATATTTTATTGATTTTTCACAGAGGAAGAGAGAGGTATAGAGAGTTAGAAACATTGATGAGAGAGAATCATCGATCAGCTGCCTCTTGCACACCCCCTATTGGGGATGTGCCCGCAACCAAGGTACATGCCCTTGCCCGGAATCAAACCCGGGACCTTTCAGTCTGCAAGCCGACGCTCTATCCACTGAGCTAAACCGGTCCCGGCTGATCCATGTTTCTCATCCATGTTTCTACTTCTCTATCTCTCTCCCTTCCTCTCCGTAAAAAATCAATAAAATATATTAAAAATTATTTTATTGTCTCGGAAATTGGAATGTGACTTATATGTAAGTGGTGATGTGATATAGTTTAATTGGCAATATATTTCCTCCTTTAATTGCTTTATAAAATAATGAAGTAGCCCTAGATCAGTGGACAGAGCGCTGGCCTACAGAATGAAGAGTCCCAGGTTTTGAGTCCAGTCAAGGGCACATGCCTGGATGTAGGGCTCAGTCCCCAGCAGGGGGCGTACAGGAGGGAGACACCCAGTGATTCTCATCATTGATGCTTCTATCTCTCCCTCTCCCTTCCTCTCTGAAATCAATTTCAAAAATATTTTTAAAAAATAATAATGGAGCCGAAACTGGTTTGGCTCAGTGGATAGAGCGTAGGCCTGCAGACAGAAAGGTCAAGGGCATGTACCTTGGTTGCGGGCACATCTCCAGTAGGGGGTGTGCAGGAGGCAGCTGATCGATGTTTCTCTCTCACTGATGTTTCTGACACTCTATCCCTCTCCCTTCCTCTCTGTAAAAAAATCAATAAAATATATTTAAAAAAAAAATATATATATATATATATTTTATTGATTTTGTACAGAGAGGAAGGGAGAGAGACAGAGAGTTAGAAACATCGATGAGAGAGAGTCATCAATCAGCTGCCTCCTGCACACCCCCTACTGGGGATGTGCCCGCAACCAAGGTACATGCCCTTGACTGGAATCGAACCCGGGACCCTTCAGTCCCCAAGCTGATGCTCTATCCATTGAGCCAAACCGGTCTCGGCTCAATAAAATATCTTTAAAAAAAATAATAATAATGGAGTGGCTTAAAGTCAGTGTTGATGACCATCCTGTGAGTGGTGCCAGCTGAGATGGCACACCCTTGTGCAGTGTCTGACAGGCATGACCGTGCATGGCTGCTCTGCCCGGACACTGGGGCATGACAGCCTGGGGCAGGGGGACTGAGATCGGGGGGAGCGGGGAGCTGGGGCTGCCAGTGTGAGTGCCCTGCACTCAGACTCCAGCCCAGGGGTCCTCAAACTTTTTAAAGTGGGGGCCAGATCACGGTCCCTCAGAGAGCTGGAGGGCCGGACTATATGAACTACTAATTCCTACAGTAACACCTCGGCTGCGCTCACTGCCCAAAAAACCTGGCGGGCCGGATCAGACTCCTCTGCGGGCCGCATGTGGCCCGCGGGCCGTAGTTTGAAGACGCCTGCTCCAGCCCACGCCTCGCTGCTGAGCATCCCGTGTCCCCCTTGGCAGGTGACGATCAACTTGGACCAGTACATCTACATGCAGTTCTGGGCCCTGGGCCAGAGGGTCGGGAAGATGCCTCGCTTGACCAGCGCGGGCTCCAAGCGTTTCTTCTTCTACAAGTCGACCCCTGCAGAGAGGTGAGGCAGCCCTGCTCCCCGGCCGCAGCGGGAGGGCCCAAGGTTAGAGCTGAGAGGGACCGGGACCCACAGCTCAGGGTCTGGCTCTGGAGGCCTGGGCCCTGTGGAAAGTCGGGAAAGGGGGAGGGGTGAATCATCCCAATGCAGCTTCTTTTGAAAATATATATATCTTTATTGATTTCAGAGAGGGTGGGAGAGGGAGAGAGAGAGACATCACTGGTGAGAGAGAATCATCCATCGGCTGCTGCCTCCTTCCTGCAACCCCCACACTGGGACCAAGTCCGCAACCTGAGCATGTGCCCTGACCCGGAATTGAACTGTGACTTCCTGGCTCATGGGTCGACCCTCAACCACTGAGCCACACTGTCCAGGAAAATGCTGCTTGTTCTTCCCAAGGGAAAGTAGGAACTAGACTTCGCAGGGGAAGGGAAAAGGTAGGGACACTTCTCCCCGTTTTCCAGATGAGCAAGCCGGGCTCAGAGCGGGAAAGCCATTCTGAGAAGTGGCGCAGGCAGATCCTGGTAATGTCACCTTTTTTTTTTTTTTTAAACATATTTTATTGATTTTTTACAGAGAGGAAGGGAGATGGATAGAGAGTTAGAAACATCAAAGAGAGAGAAACATCGATCAGCTGCCTCCTGCACACCCCTTATTGGGAATGTGCCAGCAACCAAGGTACATGCCCTTGACTGGAATCAAACCTGGGACACTTCAGTCCGCAGGCCGATGCTCTAACCTAGGGATGTCGAACTCAATCAGAGAAGGGGCCAAAATCTAAAATCCAGCCTAAATCGCGGGCCGAATGGTTTACTGAACAGTCATAAACTGTCATTGTGATGGAAACGCAGCGGAGTGCAGTGATGACAGCGTGGTGCGGGCCACATTGCAAGGCCTGGCGGGACGGATTTGGCCCGCGGGCCTTGTGTTTGACACATGTGCTAACCATTGAGCAAAACCGGTCAGGGCTAATGTCACTTTTTTAACAGGATACTCAAACACAGGAGCCACTCGGGAGAGCCAGACCTCTCACGGCCAGCCCCTGGGCCTGTCCACGGCCCAGTCTTTCTGGAAATCAGTTTATCAAATATGGTCACGAATCCAAAACACCAAACCGAAACAAAAGCCAAAGAACCCTTTACCTCCCCCAAACCAGCGATTCCCTTCCAGGACTCTCCTCCAAGGAGGCAGTGACACTCGCAGTGTGTGCTTCATCCGTCTCTCCCGCTGCTCACAGGGCCCCATTCTGTGGCCTCACGGCACTGCCTGGCTCCCAGCAGCCACGGCGAGAGATGCGGGGTCTGACATTGACAATGAACTGAACAAAAGCTTTTTGCTCAGCTCCTCTTGTCCAGTGCATGCCATCAGCAGCAACCCCGCGTCCAATCGTAGGGACTGTGTTATGTACCTGATCCCCTGTTGCTGGGCTCTGAGCTCAGAGCTGACTTCCCGCCCACCACGGCGAAGCAGCCTTTAAAATGACGGTGCCCTGGCCGGCGTGGCTCAGTGGTTAGAGCATCCGCCTGCGGACTGAAGGGTCTCAGGTTCAATTCCAGCCAAGGGCACATGCCTGCGTTGCAGGCTCGATCCCCAGTAGGGGGCGTGCAGGAGGCAGCTGATCAATGATTCTCTCTCATCATTGATGTTTCTCTCTCTCCCCCTTCTTCTCTGATATCAATAAAGATACATATTTTTAAAATTAAAATGGCCGAGGCCGGTGGCTCAGTGGTTAGAGCATTGCCTGCGGACTGAAAGGTCCCAGGTTTGATTCCGGTGGCGGGTGTGCAAGAGGCAGCTGATCGATGTTTCTCTCTCATTGATGTTTCTAGCTCTCTATCCCTCTCCCTTCCTCTCTGTGAAAAAATAAATAAAATAAATAAATACATACATACATAAGTGAATAAATAACTAAATAAATTGGCTGTGTGAGGCAGAGCCGAGCGAGCGCCCTGGGTTGGAGGCCCTGGGCGGTGCTGACCGCGGCCCCCGTCTGTCGCCAGGCGGTACTTCAAGCGGGTGGTGCTGGCGGCCCGGACGAAGCGGGGGCACCTGGTGCTGAAGAGCTTCAAGGACACGCCGCTGGAGGGCCTGGAGCAGCTGCTGCCGGAGCTGAAGGTGCGCACGTCCGCGCTGCAGCGCACCCTGCTCAACCTCTTCCTGGTGGTCTCGGGCGTGGCCGTCTTCGTCAACGTGGGCATGGTGGTGCTCACCGACCTGAAGATGGGCACCTCGCTGCTGCTGCTCTTCTTCGCCGCCTTCATGGGCGTGCGGGCCTCCAAGGTGAGCCGCCACCCTGGCCTGCGGGCCTGCTGCTCCGCACTCGGCCGGAAGGTCTGGCGCCCCCTGTTTTCACCTATTTCATGTGCTGGTCCTGCCTCGTGGGGTGCCCCTCCCCTCCCCTCCCCTCCCCTCCCTTCCCTTCCCTCCCCTCCTTCCCCCTCCCCCTCCCCTCCCCCCCCCCCCTCCCCCTTCCCCCCCTCCCTCTCCCCCTCCCCCCTCCTCCCTCTCCTCTCCCCTCCCCTCCCTCCCCTCTCCTCCCTCCTCTCCCCTCCCCCCTCCCCCCCCCCCTCTCCCCCTCTCCTCTTCCCCCCTCTCCACCTCCTCCCCCTCCCCTTCCCTCCCCTTTCCTCCCCTTTCCTCCCCTCCCCGCCCCTCCCCTCCCCTCCTCTTCCCTTCCCTTCCCTTCCCTTCCCTTCCTCCCCTTTCCTCCCCTCCCCTCCCTTCCCTTCCCTTCCCTTCCCCCCTTCCCATTTCCTTCCTTTTCTTCCTTCCTTCCTTCCTCCCCTCTCCTCCCCTCCCTTCTCCTCTCCTCTCCCCTCCCTTCTCCCCTCCCCTCCCCCCCCCCTCCCCTCTCCCCTCCCCTCCCCTCCCCTCCCCTCCCCTCCTCTCCTCTCCTCTCTTCCTTTTCTACCTTATTTACTCACTGCAACCTTGCGCAGGTTTCTTGATCTCTCTGTGCCTCAGTTTCCTCATCTGGAAATGGGGGTAACAGTGAGACCCCCCCACAGGTTTGTTATGGGGATTAAGTGAGCGAAGCCGTGAAGAGCACTGGGCACAGTGCCTGGCGTGTGGTAGGCGCTACAGTTGTGTTCACAGCTACTCGCCGAGCGGCCCTTAGTGACGGGGTGAAGGTTGTGTTTTAGAACCAGACTGCCTGGCTGTGACTTGAGCTCCACCGACTTCTGGCTGTGTGACCTTGAATAAGACGCTTAACCTCTCTGTGCATCCGCTCCCGCATCTGCAGAGTGGGGGTGCCAGTGGGAGCTAACTCCTAGGGCTGTTGTGGGGTTGCATTAATGATGCATACGGTGCCGGGAGCAGAGCCTGACGCTCAGTACAGAAGGTGCTGCCTGCGCGTTGGCTGTTGCCGCTGTTATTATTACTACCTGGGAAATAGCGTCCTGAGTGCGGGCTTTCCCATTCTGGCCAGTGTCACTACCACCAGGGAGCTGTTTGAGGAATAGATATTTTTTATTTGATTGATTGATTGAGAGAACTACGTTGATGTGTTGTTCCACTGATCAGTGCATTCACTGGTTGATTCTTTTTTTTTAAATATATTTTATTGATTTTCCACAGAGAGTAAGGGAGAGAGATAGAGAGCTAGAAACGTCAATGAGAGAAAATCATCAACCAGCTGCCTCTTGCACACCCCCTACCGGGGATGTGCCCGCAACCAACATACATGCCCCTGACCGAATCGAACCCGGGACCTTTCAGTCCGCAGACCAATACTCTACCGCTGAGCCAAACCGGTTTTGGCGGTTGATGCTTTTTTTTTTTTAAATACATTTTATTGATTTTTTTATAGAGAGGAAGGGAGAGGGTAGAGTTAGAAACGTCGATGAGAGAGAAACATCGATCAGCTGCCTCCTGCACACTCCCCACTGGGGATGTGCCCGCCACCAAGGTGCATGCCCTTGACCGGAAACGAACCTGGGACCCTTCAGTCCGCAGGCCGACGCTCTATCCACTGAGCCAAATGGGTCCGGGTGGTTGATTCTTGAACGTGTGCCCTGACCTGGGATTGAACCCGCAACCCTGGCGTATCTAGACGATGCTCTAACCAGTGAGCTGCCCAGCCAGGGCCAGGGTAACTGTGTTATTTTTATTTTTTGAATATGCTTTTTTTTTTTTTTTTAAATTGATTTTAGAGAGAAAGGGGGAAGGAGAGAGAGAAAAAAAACAACATTGGGACTGAGCTCACAACCCCGGCCTGTGTCCTGACTGGGATTCAAACTGGCAGCCCTTCGGTGCTCGGGATGCTGCTCAACCAGCTGAGCCCCCGGCGGGGGGAGCGGATATGAGTGCAGCTTCTCCGGCTCCAGCCCAAATCACTGATCGGAGTCTGTGGGCCCGGGGCCCGGGAAGCTATTTTTTTTTTTTAAATATATTTTATTGATTTTGTACAGAGAGGAAGGGAGAGAGATAGAGAGTTAGAAACATCGATGAGAGAGAGTCATCGATCAGTTGCCTCTTGCACACCCCCTACTGGGGATATGCCCGCAACCAAGGTACATGCCCTTGACCGGAATCGAACCCGGGTCCCCTCAGTCCCCAAGCCGACGCTCTTATCCATTGAGCTAAACGGGTCCCGGGCCGGGAAGCTATTTTTAACCTGCTCCCCTCGCCTCGGCCACGTGTGCGTGCGGGGCAGCTATTCCGGAGCGCAGGTGGTTCACCATCTAAGGATCTGAGGCCAGAGGACAGGTGGAGGCTGGCACCCAACTTGAGCTTTGATGGCTGAGCCCTGTGTCCTGTCTCAGTGCCGAGGGGCCCCCGAGGGGCTGCCTGGTTCTGACATTCCCCCCCCTCCTACCCCCCCTCCCCGCCCCGGCTGGCACTCGCCCTGGGAGTGCGCACTGGCAGGCGGCTGTTGTGCCCGATCACTGGCTAGTCGGTTCATTGGTTTGCAAGCTGTTTGCAGCCATCCCAACGGGCTGCTAGGAAGATGGGTCATAAATTCCGCAGATAACAGCCTGCTCTGCTGCCGGGAGGGGGGAGGGCCGGGGAAGGGCGCAGGGAGCAATCCTAGGACCAGGGACCACTTTGCAAGAGAGGGTTGAGCCGGTGGAGAAGGGGCCAGGCGAGCAGGGCTTGGGGGAGCTCCCAGGACTCGGTCCAGAGCGCAGAGCGGAGAAGGGAGACCCCGGAAGTGGCAGGGGCCCCGGGTGCCAAGGGAGAGGCCCCGGGTTCTATCGTCTGGGCAGCCGGAGCCGGGGAAGGGTTGTAAGCATGAGGGAGTGGCTGACCCTGGGTCTCTGAAAGGCCCAGTTTAAAACTCAGTTCACCAGTTAATTAATTAATTAGTTATTTTTTAAAGTATATTTTTATTGATTTCAGAGTGGGAGAGAGAAAGAGATAGAAACATCAGTGATGAGAGAGAATCAATTGGCCGCATCCCACATGCCCTCTACCGGGAATCAAGCCCATAGCCAGGGCATGGGCCTGACCGGGAATCGAACCATGACCTCATGGCTCATGGGTCAATGGTCAACCACTGAGCCAGCCCGGCCCGGGCTCACTAGTTATTTGATGTATCTGTGCAGTGTTTTCCCACGCCCCGGCTGAGCCTCCAGGCCGTACATGGCCCCCTCAGCCTCTCTAGTCGCGCACCACCCCCCCCGCCCCCGGGTTCAGCATCTGTGTCTTCCGAAGCCCCTTCTCTTCTGGAGTCCCATCCGGGGACAGGCTCTCCGATCACACACCCGAGAGGCCAGTTTTGCTGCTTTCTCTCCCTGGAAGAGCTCAGCCACTTCCTGCTTCCCCTCAGCAGCTCTCTTCCTCCCTGGCTGGGTGCTCTGTCTCAGCCCTGAGCGGCCAGCTCGCCAGGCCCCCTGCCCACTGCTTCTCCATCTGCAGGGGGCCCTGTTGCCCCCCGCTCACTTGCTGGCCCCCTGACGTTGCCCTGGCCCTGCCTCCAGCCCATCCGTCCCAGGCTCTCCTTCCTGCTTCCCTCGTCCCTGTGCCGTCTCCTCTCCTCGGCTCCAGCCCCAGCACAGACCCTCCTCCCGGCCTCCCTGGTCTCCTCCCGCCCATGCTGGTGGCCCAGGCCGGCCCTGCTCCCCCGCTCACAACCCAGCACCAGAGTCCCTGGCTCCCCCCTCATCCGTGTGGCACCATTCCATGCTCCAGCCCCACCAGTATCCTGGCAGCACCCTCCCCCGCTTCCCTTCCCTTCTCTCCCTTTGCATGTGCTGTTCCTCCTGCTGACATGTCCTACCCCTCCTGGGCTGACCGCTCAGAGGCTCCAGAAAGCTTTCCTAGCCTCCCGGCAGCCAGGGGCTTCTGTGCTCCCCCGCCCCCACGTCCCCTCTCACTCCCCACCGCACCCTGGTTCTCTGTGGGTGTCAGAGCACAGAGCACCCTGGGCAGCCTGGGGGGGGCGGCAGAGCTGGTGCCCCAGAGACACGTCAGGCGGGTCCTGCCCTGAGGGGGTGGTGCCCGGCACCCCACACCCTGCCACATGCCCGATGGAGGCAGAAGCGGGTCCTTCAGGGACGCGGGCACACGCTGCTCATCTGTGGGAAGCATGTCCTCCCTGACCCTGGCCGTTGAGGCATGAGTGTTTTCTCTCTTTTTTTTCTTTCTAAATAATAAATCTTTATTGTTCAGATTATTACAGGTGTTCCTCTCTCCCCTCCCCCCATAGCTCCCCTCCATCTGATTCCCAACCCTACCCCGCACCCTTACCCCCGCCCCTGTCTTCATCCATAGGTATACGATTTTTGTCCAATCTCTTCCCTCACTCCTCAGACTCCCTTCCCCCTGAGAATTGTTGGTCCAATCCCTTTCTATGTCCCCAATTCTATTATATTCACCCGTCCATTTTGTTCTTCAGAGTTTTTATTTGCTTGATTTTTAGATTCACTTGTTGGTAGGTATGTATTTGATGTATTTTTGTTGTTCATAATTTTTTACCTTTACCTTTTTCTTCTTCTTAAAGAATACCCTTCAGCATTTCATGTAATCCTGGTTTGGTGGTGATGAACTCCTTTAACTTTTTCTTGTCTGTGAAGATCTTTATCTGACCTTCAATTCTGAATGACAGCTTCGTTGGGTAGAGTGATCTTGGCTGTAGGTTCTTGTTGTTCATCGTTTTGAATATTTCTTGCCACTCCCTTCTAGCCTGCATGGTCTCTGTTGAGAAATCAGCTGAGAGTCGTATGGGTGCTCCCTTGTAGGTAACTAGCTGTTTTTCTCTTGCTGCTTGTAAGGTTCTCTGAGGCATGAGTGTTTTCTAAGAATGGCCCAGAGGTGGCGTGGCCTGTTCCAGGCTCGGAGGCCTGAGAGCAGGCGTGCTCGGGGTGGGGACTGCACTCAGAGGGGAGAGAGGGGAGGCCAGTGGGAGAAACACCCGGGGCCAGGCCAAGGAGCTCTGAGGGCCCTGGGGGCCCTGGGAGGTGCGGGTAGCAGCGGAGGAGCAGGGTCGCCTCTGGAGCTGTGCAGGGACAGACTGGAATGGGAGACAGAGGACAGAGAGGAGGCTGGGGAGGAAGGAACGGCAGAGAAGACAGGAGGACCGGCCAGGGACTGACAGGCTGGTGCGGTGGGTAAGGACAGTGCCAGGGGTCTGGCCTGTGACTGGATACTTGGTGGGGTTACCCCAGATACGGAGCCCAGGGGAGGAGGGAGGGTTGGGCCGGGGTTCGGGGACGGCCGTCCTCAGTGTGGGCCCTGGTGAGTGTGAAGGGCACCTGCAGGTGCAGGGGAGAAGTCTCCGGGGAGCGGTCAGACTGTCAGATCGCATCTGTGTGCGGACAGCAGCGTGACCGGCTCGCTTGACCCGGGAGAATTCGCCCCCTCGGCTCTGCAGGCGCAGACAGACCCGGTGTGCTTTCACGTCAGCCGGGCCCAGCCCTGCGTCTCGCCTTCAGCCGCAGGAATGGCAATTCGTTCCAACGCAGGCGCACCGCCAGCTGCTGTGCTCGGAGGAAGAGCCACAGCCCGCATGCAGGCCAGGCCCACGGTTTCTCCGGGGGTGGAGGGGGGAAGAGGGGGTGGGGCGCTGACTCGAAGCATTTTACCTGGGCCTCGGCCTAAGATGAGCAGCACTCTGGCGGGGATGAGCAGTCAGTAATGTGGATGAATAGTCGGTAGTAGCTGATGTTTAACTGCTCTTCTGGGCGCTGGCTCTGTGCCTAGGGTTTCGGGAACTGAGTTTTGACTTCCTGAGCACTTCCTGTCATCTGCCTGTCCTGGGTGTTTGCCCAGGGGGGTCACAGCCAGTAGGGGGCAGAGTCAAGACGCATTTCAAGGACGCGGCAGCCTGGAGCTGATGGCTGAATGGAGAAGTTTGGTGATGGTTTTCAGTGTAAGCCCTGAGGCGCGGTGGCTCTCAGTCCCCTCCTGAGGGACAGGACAGGGATAGGTGACCAGAAAAGGAGGGGCTGGAGAATGGGACGGGCGCAGGGAACAGACACCGGGGCCCAGGCCTGCCCTTCTCTCCTCCCCTCAAAGCTGCTTGCTCTTTGAATATTATTTTTTAAATCCTCACCCAAGGATATGTTTTCTTTCTTTTTTGTTGCTGTTAATCCTTACCCAAGGACATTGTCTCCATTTTTAGAGAGAGAAGGGAGGGAGGGAGGAAGGGAGGGAGGGAGAGAGAGAGAGAAGCATAGATGTGAGAGAGACACATGGATTGGTTGCCTCCCAAACGCACCCCAGCCAGGGCTAGGCATTGAATCTGCAACCCAGGTACATGCCCTTGACTGCAAATCAAACTTGAGACCCTTCAGTGTACGGCTAATGCTGTAATCACTGAGCCACACTGGCCAGAGCCAAGAGTATGTTTTCATTTATTTTTAGAGAGAGAAGAAGGAAGGGAAAGACAAACATTGATCAGTTATTCATCAGTTTCCTCCGACACATGTGCACTGGGGGTCAGACCTGCAATCTAAGTATGTGACCTAACCAGGAATTGAACCTGCAACCTTTGAGGTGTATGGAGGATGCTCCAACCAATGAGCCCCCCGGCAGGGCTGCTCTTTGAGTGTTTTTGTCTGTTAGCACTTCTCTTTACTATTTACTATTTTAAACCTTTTTATTGATTTCAGAGAGGAAGAGATAGAAACATCAATGATGAGAGACTCATTGATCGGCTGCCCCCTACTGAGGATCGAGCCCATAATCCGGGCATGCGCCCTTGAACTGGAATCCAACTTAGGACCCTTCAGTCCACTGAGCCAAACCAGCTAAGGCTAAACCTTTTTTTTTAATTATGGAAAAGTTTTTTAAAATGCAGAAATAACATTATATGATGAGATCCCATGTAGCCAACATCCGGCATCTACAATTAGCAATAGTCCGTCACGTTTTACCTAAAGATCCTGCTCTCTCACTACTGAGTTATTTGGAAGCAAATCCTAGCATAGCAGCTGCAAATATTCAATACTTTAGTATTTGTCCAAAAGATAAGGACTTAAAAATAATTGTAGCAAAAGTTCCAAGGCTAAAGCTGTATTGCTTGAAAATCGTTGAACCAATCCATTAATGCATGGTTCCGATGAGCATACCTGCGCAGCGGCTGCAAAATATTGTTAGAGGCCTCAGATTCATCGGGTTAAGAACGAATAGATTAAAAGTACAAATAGCGGATCCTAGCTGGTTTGGCTCAGGAGATAAAGCTTTGGCCTGAGAACGGGAGGGTCCCCATTAGATTCCAGTCAAGGTCACGTGCTTGGGTTGCGGGCTCGATCCCCAGTAGGGGGCGTGCAGGAGGCAGCCGATCAATGAGTCTCTCTCATTGATGTTTCTGTCTCTCTCTTCCTCTCCCTTCCTTTCTGACATCAATAAAAACATATTTTAAAAATACAAATAGCCCTAACTGGTTTGGCTCAGTGGAGAGAGCCTCGGCCTGCAGACTGAAGGGTCCCAGGTTCGATTCAGGTCAGGGGCATGTACGTTGGTTGCGGGCACATCCCCAGTAGGGGGTGTGCAGGAGGCAGCTGATGGATGTTTCTAGCTCTCTCTCTCCCTTCCTCTCTGTAAAAAGATCAATAAAATATATTTAAAATAAAATAAAATAAAATAAAATAAAATAAAATAAAATAAAATAAAATATACAAATAGCCGGGCCCTAGTCCTGGGGACCTGAACCAGCAGATCTGGGGAGGGCTCAGGAGTCCGCCCGCGGGAGAGTGGCGGAGGGGTGCGGGTGCGGGTGCGGGTGCGGGTCCGAGCCGCGCTGTCCCGCCCGCAGATGTTCGGGCAGCAGCGCAGCGTGCAGGCGCTGGAGCTGGCGCACATGCTGTACTACCGCAGCACGTCCAACAACTCGGAGCTGCTGAGCGCGCTGGCCCTGCGCGCGCAGGACGAGCACACCAAGGAGGCGCTGCTGGCGCGCTGCTTCCTGGCTCGGCGGCCCCGTGGCGCGGGCGGCTCGCCCGAAGGTAGGACCCCACCTCGGGGCGCCCCTTCCCCCCACCCGGACCCCTTCGCCCCCACCCCTGCGGCTCCCACCAGCCCTGCCCGAAACAGACTCCCCTGGATCCCAAGGACCTGCCCCCGGGAGGCACCCTCCCCACGCCGCCCGCCCCCACTCCCTGCTCCAGATGGCGAACTGACCTATTCCCAGGTGACCCCGGCCCCGGCAGACGGGACCCCTGAGCCCAGTTTACAATATATTTTTTTAATTTTTTATAATATCACATAATTGTCCTCATGCCCCCATTCCCATCCCAAACCCCTCCCCACCTATGCCCCCACCCCCCTGTTGTCCATGGCCACTGGCTAGGCCCATCTGCATGCACACAAGTCCTTTGGCTGATCTCTCCCTCTTACCCCCACCCTCCCCTCCCTTCCCTCTGAGGTCTGACAGTCTGATCGCTGCTTCTCTTTCTCTGGGTCTGCCAGTTTACAATCTTGATGGACGTGGTTTTCCCGCCAGGGGAGGCCTCCCTTTCCTGGCCTCAGCCTCTGTGTGGCAGGGCCCCAGTCCCGCCCCCCTATACTTCCTGTACAGCCTCCACTTTCCCTACAGGAGGGAGACCCTTGTCCCTGGCCCTTCCAACAGGAGCCCCAGGCCTTCCTGGCTTGGCCCCACATGTGAGGTCCAGAGCCTCCCCTGCAGGCCTTGTCCCCCTCCCCTCCTAGCCCCTCCCAAGCCCAGGCCCTTCCTTTCCCTGCCCCCCCCCCCCCTCCAGGCCCCTCTGACCTCACACTGCCTCTCCCCCCACAGAGACCTCCCAGTGGCTCCAGGCGGAGGTAGAGAACTGGCTCCTGACCCAGACGGGCTGTGCCGTGACCTTCAACGCAGCTCGGGCCCTGGGCCACCTGCAGGCCCTGGCGGAGAGCATGGGCACGTTCCCGCCTTCGGGTTTCCCCAAACTGGACCCGCCGGCCACAGACACTCCCCCGACAGGCCCCGCCCCGCATGACCACCCGGGGGGAGGCCTCTAGGTCCGGCCCCGCCCGGCCCCGCCCGGCCACCTGGTCAGCCGCTGAGCCCGCCTCCTCCGGGCAAACTGCTCATCACCGCTCCGAAACCTTGCTGCTCTAGTTTCCGATGTTACACTGTGTCCTGAAAACAAAGCCCCCACTCAAGACAGACTGCACTGCTCCCCCCACTCCCCCGTGAACTGCCGTTCTGAGGGAAGGTTTTCGGTTCTGAACCCCCACTCCCCTCCGTCGCCCCAGCTGTAAACAACGAAGTGTGGTTTCGGCCGATGGGGAAGTCAGCCAATCACAGCTGCTAACCCTGCTGACCACCTGGTGCGGCCGTTGGGCTGTGGCCTCCCCAGGCCATGCATCATTGTCTTCTTAGCCTGCTCTGGGCACGATGCCCAGCCTGCTCACCCAGGCGGAGCGCAGCCAACGAGAGCCAGACTCCTCGGCGGGGAGGCTTCTGGGCGCCCAGTTGTCGCTGCATGGCAACCATCACAATTCCTAGGAGAAACCCGATCTTCCCGCCACTCGCTCTGCTTATAGGGCAGGCCACGGGGTCCACGCGGGCCAGCTTGCCAGGCTGAGGGCTGGGAGCTGGTGCCCGCAGGAGCGGTGGGCCAGGAGGAGCCGCCTCACCCGGGGTGCGGTTCCGCTCAGGCCGGCAACCCCAGGTGCCTTCCCTGCCCTGTGCCCCCCTTTCTACAGAAACTACCTCGCTCGGACCCTCCCTCCACCAGTGGCCTGTGCGATATTTATTGGTCTATCCGTGTCCCTCTCCCAAAGGAATAAATCTTGTCTAATACTCTGGATGGATGAGGGGGTGGTTTGTGAGGGTGCCATCTGATTTTTACTAAGGTGTCCGGGCTAGAGGCAGCCCTTGGGGATGAGGGGGAAGAGGATCTGGGGAGGGTTGGGTTGTAATGAGGAAAGGCCTCGTCCTAAGAGGGACATGGGAACGTGTCTTCCCAGAGGAAGGCCAGAGAGAGGCCTGCCATCTAGAACAACACCCAGGCCCTGCCCCACGAGCGAGGGCGCCCCTTACACACGGAAGCGGGGACTGGAGACCAGACTCCCGTTCTTCCCCGGAAACCGGTGTCCGAAGGCTCCACTCGAGAGGAACCCTGAGACTTGAGATGGAAGGGCCCGTGGCCTTGGGACCTCGGGCTCCTATGTCCGAGTTTAGAGGGACCTGGGGGCCGAGACTGGTTTGGCTCCGTGGACAGAGCATCGGCCTGGGAACTGAAAGGTCCCGGGTTCGATTCCAGGCAAGGGCATGTACCGTGGTTGCAGGCACATCCCCAGTGGGAGGTGTGCAGGAGGCAGCTGATGGATGTCTCTCTCTCATCGATGTTTCTAACTCTGTATCCCTCTCTCTCCCTCTCTCTTCCTCTCTGTAAGAAATCACTCTGGAGGCAGCACTGCGGGGTGGGCTGTCCCAGCGGTCCATTCTCAGGGTGCCTCAGCAGCCCGGTCCCTGGAGGAGGAAGGGCGGAAGGAAGGAGCAAAGGCAGGTGGTTAAACGGTTTTATTCTCTGGAGGCGGGTGGGGTGAGTTGAAGGGGCGGGAGTGGGCAGGGCCGTAAGGGCAAGGCCACGGGCAGTGCTCACTCCCGCTTCCGAAGGTGGATGTAGATGATGCCACTGGCCAGGGCGAGCGGGAAGGCCACCCAGGCCAGGACGAAGCAGTAACCGAAGCTGCCCCCTTTCGGGTACTTCGCCAGGATCTCTTCCACATGAATGGCATAGATCAGGGCCCCGGTGAACACTGTCAGGCCTGCGGGGAGACAGGAGCCAAGAAGACTGCCTATCCCAGCAACCCCCGGGGCAAAGTGGCCGCCACCGGAGGGCAATGGGCAGCACCGCTGCCTGCCTGTGGGAGTTGTGGTTTGCTCCCTCCCCAGCTCTGCGCAACCAGGCTGCTGCAGACTGGCCTTGGGCACTTGGATCCCTGGGTCCCCTTATCCATAAAAATGGGTCGGTAATAACAACTCATTCGTCCATCCAGGGAATATTTTTGAAGGTCTACCAGCCAGGTGTGCAAAGAGTGCATTAATAAAACAAGACGGGCTGAAACCGGTTTGGCTCAGTGGATAGAGCATCGGCCTGGGGACTGAAAGGTCCCGGGTTCGATTCCGGTCAAAGGCACGTACCTTGGTTGCGGGCACATCCCCTGTAGGGGGTGTGCAAGGGTGTGCAAGAGGCAACTGGTCGATGTTTCTCTCACATCGACGTTTCTAGCTCTCTATCTCTCTCCCTTCCTCTCTGAAAAAAATCAATAAAAATATATTTTAAAAAAATAAAAAACAAATAAAACAAGACGGGCTTTGCAGGAACCTAGACAATGTTCCCCATATTTCGGACTATGATTAACTTAGTCCTTTTTGCACTTGAAGTGTTAAAAAAAAAAAAAAAAAAAAAAAAGGAAAAGTACATAAAACTCCCTGAAGTGTCTGATACACAGTAGGTCCACCAGAAACAGCAGCTGGCGGCCATTATAATGACAAGACTGCTCTGATGACTCAAGAGTTCTGAGATATTCATCAGCCACCTATCCCCGCCTAGGCCCGCCTCCATCTCTGGGATTCCCATCATTTGCCCATCGCCTTCCTCAGCCCTGGCTCCCGGAAGCCCCAAGTTCCATCCCCCCTATGACTCAGCGACCCAAACCACCAGGGAGTCCCTGAAGGACAGCGGGGGTCCAGGGACGGGGGCCGTTGAGAATTGTTTCCTTGTACCAGCGGTCCATTCTCAGGGTGCCCAGCATCCGGATGGGCCCCCTCGCTTCCCCCCAGTTCCCAGGGAACAGTGCTTACTGGTGAACAGCTGGCAGACGCCCGTGGCGTAGAAGAGCCCCCCTCGCTTCATGTTGTAGAGCTGGAACATGAAGAGGATGAAGGACAGGCAGCAGAGGATGAGGGAGAGCACCATGAGGATCTGCACGGCCTTCAGCCAGCCTGCGACGGGGAAGAGACCGGAGTGGAGGTCACCGAGGCCCAGGTCCAGCTCCGCCTGCTCGCTCATCATCTCCACAACCCTCTCCACTCCTCCTCCCCCCAACCTAGAGCCTAGATACGGGTTTGGATGCGTAGGAAAATCACAGCAACATCGTCCATCCCTGTAGCTTTGCTAAATCCCCCGGTCAATTTCAGAAGCTGCTCTGCAGTGTCTTTAGGATTTTCTACGGAAACTCGTCCACTGGGCCAACACCGGTTTGGCTCAGTGAATAGTGTTGGCCTGTGGATTGAAAGGTCCCAGGTTCGATTCTGGCTGAGGGCATGTATCGTGATTGCAGACACATCCCCAGTAGGGGGTGTGCAGGAGGCAGCTGATGGATGTTTCTCTCTCATCGATGTTTCTAACTCTCTATCTTTCTCCCTTCCTCTCTGTAAAAAATCAATAAAATATATTAAAGGAAAAAAAAAAAGAAAAGAAACTCGCCCACTGGGAATAGAAACATGGTTACTTCCATCTTGTTGCTTTTTATTTGTTTTTCTTGCCTTATCACGTTGGCTACCTCCAGTACAACACCTGGGCCTAAGCCAAGAGAACAGAAATTCTTGCTTTGCTCTTAGGGGGAACGCATTTCATCTTTCACTTCCTTCTGACTTAGAGATGTTTATAGATGCAACGTGCCCCTCTTTAGAACACACGGGCATCTGCCCCTGAGCCAGGGGAGGGTTTGGCCCTGGCCCCGCCTCTTTAAAAACAGTGTGGTCCCAGCCCCACCCTCTTGGAACTCGGACACGTCGGTCCCAGCCATCCATTCCGAACACCGTCCTCTGGTGCTTAGAACTTTGGAAACGTAATCCTATCTTTTCGGAATCATGGGAACAACCTCCCGATTTCTTAAACCGGCAGTGTGGGCCCCCCACGCTTTCTGACTCGTAAGGTGGGGGGCTTTTAGCGTATCCTCTTTAGAGCAGAAGCATACTGCTCCCTGCCATCGAGACTTGGGGGGCCCTCCATCGGCCCCACTCCCTCAGCACTCGGAGACTTGGTCCCCGGGAGGGGAAGCGACTGGGGGTTCCCCTTCCCCTTGGCAGACCGGTCCCCGTGCCCCTCACCATTCTCGCTGACATCACTGCAGTCCCACGTTTTGTTGACACTGTTCCACGTGCAGTCAGACCAGAGGTTCAGGGAGTCCTTCCCGGGGAGGGTCCACCAGGACTGGGGTGGGCAGAGAAACAGGGGCGGGCGTGGGGACGTGGGCGAGGCCAGGGGGCCGGTGGGAAGGCTTAGAGGAAGGCTGTGGTGCCGAGAAGGGGCTGCCCTGGGGCAGAACAAGGGTTTAGCAGGAAAGGGGAAAGGGAAGGGGAAAGGGGGAAGCATCAGAGGCAGAGGCAAGGGGAAGGGGGCAGGTGCCTGTGGAGGAGGGGTGTGGCGGGCTGCTCCGAGCAGGCTTACCTTGTCCAAAGTGGCCACGAAAAGCAGGATGAGGATGAGGATGTGAAGGGCAGAGACCACCACCAGGAGGAGCGACATGGCTGCGGCAGAAGCCTGGGGAAGGGGACGTCAGGAGATGGTCCTTTCAGGAGCTTGGCACGGGGGTGTGGGGAGGAGGAGTGAGATGCCCAAATCCTCGTGGAGAGAGGGGCTGGTTCCGGACCCCGGGGTGTGAGGGAAGAGGAGGCTGGGAGCCGGGGAGCCCGAATTCCCCAGGGGCGGGAGAGGGCCGGGGACTGGCTCCAGAGGCCAGGAATGATGGGAACTCGCGATGTGCTTCACTCCGTGTCCCCAGAGCCCCGGCCTGGGCCAGGCTACGGACATGCAAGTTGCAACCCCTCCAGACTCCCCAGAAGCTGCAGGCGGGCTGCCCCCAGAGTCAGGCATCCTTGACTCACCCCACCCCTCTCTGGGGGGGGGGGCAGGGGAGGAGGGGTTCCGGGTGAATCATGGGTGACTCATCCCACCCTCCAGCCTCCGAGGACCAGGGAAACCCCAGTCCCTGGCTGTGCCCACGAGGTCTCCGCCCCACCCTGCTGCCAGGAGGGTGCCTGCTGGGCACCCTGTTGGGGAAATGGACAAGGACCTGTGTCTGGGGGGAGAGGTGTGAGAAGGAGGAACCAGCCTCCCTTCACCGTTCAGTGCCCAGAAAGGGGAGGGGGCCTGGAGGTAGCCCAGACTTGGGGTGTTCTCATGCAAAGTCCCGCTCTCGGGGTCCTCAGGGGTGAGTGGACATGGGGGGTGGGGGTGTAACATTGCAGGACATTATCAGGTGAAGGGCTCTGCTGAGAACCCCGCGCGCACACACACACACACACACACACCCAAAACCTTGCTGGGCCCCACCCCTTCCTGAATCTGCACCCCAAGGGCTAAGTGGTCATTTCTGACACTAAAAGTACTTCCATGGGGGCGTCCCTCCCGAAAGGCCACACTCCCAAGTAAATAAAGAAATCCCAGCCCAGATAACGGACTGGAAACTTACCCAGAGCGGCAGAAGAAGTCAGAGTTTGGAGTCTGTCCCTCGCCTGGGCCTCCGTGCCCCGCCCTTCGCCTCCCTCCTTCCACCCGCCCGGGCCCCCGCCTCCCTCGCCGCCTTCCTCCCTCCCTCTCTCTCCTCTCTGGCTCTCTCCGTCCTTCTCCCCTCCAATCCTAGAACCCGTTCTCTCTCTCTTCCTCCAGCTCCCTCGTTCTATCCTGTCTTCACTGGCCTATACCTTTTCCTTCTCGCTCTCCTCACTCTCCTGGTTTCTCTTCCTCTGCTCCTCTCAGTATATATACCGACCCTTTAATACCCACCCTCACCGCACCCAGCTGAGGTCTGCAGCCAGAGGGAGGGCCCAGGCTCTCTGGTTCTTCATTCTCCGGGCCCGCCCACTGCCCCCACAAGCGAATCGTTCGGGGCTCCCTCCCAGGGCTGAGATGAGATGTCCTGGGAGGGAGCGGAGAGGAGCAGGGGCCCTGGGGTGGGGCAGCGGGGCTGGGAGGGCCAGATTCTCAGGCCTCCGCTCTGGGTCTGGTCCTGGGACCTGGGACCGGATGTCTGCTTTCCTTGATCGGCCTTAGGACTGGATATTCGGAGGGATGGGAGTCTGAGGAGGAGCCCAGATTCTTGCAGTGCAGAGTGGGCTGAGGACTGGTGGATTTGGCGCCCTGGCTGTGGCCAGGGGATGGGGAATGTGGAAGTGGGGAGCTGTGGAAGGGAGCAGGCAGTGGAAGTTAAGACCATCATTTCCTGTCTGGGGGCGGGGGAGGAGGGGGTGACCTTGACCAATGATGCCCACTCTCTGAGCCTCAGCTTCCTAACCTGCGGGTGTAGGAATACTACTAATACTGACAATCCACTAATACTGATAATAATAAGTCCCATACGTAATCTAAACGAGTAAGATAATACCAGTACATTAACACACCTAACACACTCGTTCCTTTCTCCATGAAACATTTATTGAATATCTATTATGAACCAGGAGTTAATGAACAAAAAAAAAACCAAAAACAAAACAAAACAGATGTGAGCCGATGATTAATTACTGTGGAGCTTACCTTCCTAGCGGAGGGAGACAGACAATAAAGAGAAAACACCAACACACAAGAGACGTTTCAGCCCTAATATGTTTGGCTCAGTGGATAGAGCATCGGCCTTCAGACGCAGGGGTCCCGGGTTCGATTCTGGTCAAGGGCATGTACCTTGGTTGCGGGCACATCCCCAGTGGGGGGTGTGCAGAATGCAGCTGATGGATGTTTCTCTCTCGTCAATGTTTCTATTATAACTCTTTATCCCTCTCCCTTCCTCTCTGTAAAAAGTCAATAAAATATATAGTTTTAAAAATACACGAGACATTTAGACAACGATGAAGACTTTGAAGGGAACAAAACAAAACAGAGTGATGGAGACAATGATAGCGTGAGGGGACCCTACTTTACACAGGGTGACGGGCCAGGCATCTTTACACAGGGTGACGGGCCGAGGAGGTGGCATCTGAGCTGAGGCCGAAGACAGGAGCCGTTTGAAGGCGGGCGGAGAGCGCACGCAGAGGCTCTTGAGAACAAGCGCAGGTTGTTAGAGGAGCAGACAGAAGGGCCAGTGTGTCTGGGATATGGGGAGCCAGAGGGAGGGCAGGGCGGGAATCAAAGAGGGCCCTTGAAGGCTAGGGGAGGAGTCTGGATTTTTATTCTAAGTGCAATCAGAAGTCACCGGGAGGTTTTAAACAGAAGTGCGGTACTAGCGATTTAACGCGAACTCTTATTGTTGTTTCCTGGGTGATTGGTTGTGGGTGGGTGGGATGGTTTCTATGTTTCTGGGTTTCTTAGAAGAGCTGGGTGATGGTGAAAGAGTGAGGGACAGGGGTTCTGATATGAAACCGAGAGCTGGAAAACGGAAATGGGATGATAGCATGACCGGAAGGAAACGGGATGATAGCATGTCTGGGTATCTGATGGGGCCAGAGCTGGCGGAGGGAGCGAGATTGGTCAGTGGGCTTCCTGAGGGCACGTTAGTGATTGGGTGGGTACTTGGGGAGACTTGGAAGCTGGGGTGCCAGTACAGCATTGACTCTAGAAACACACTGGCTGGCTTCAAATCCAAGATGCTTTACTCACTAGCGGTAATTTCGGGCAAATGACTAATAACCTCTCTCTGCCTCAGTTTTTCTATCTGTCAAATGGGGATAATAGTGAGTGCATCATAGGGTAGTTTTTAGAGTAGTGCTGGCACATCATAAACACTATTGTATGTGTTAGTTATACCAGGTATTGGGGGCCTGAGTGGATTCAGTACTGGGGGATCCTAGATCAAGGTCTTGAGAATCTGGGAAAGGGGCACATTATTGGGTCCCAAGACGAAAACGTTGGAGTATAAAATGAGGGTCCCTGGTGTCAGGGAATAGGTGGGTAGTCTTAAATCTGTCTTTCAGAAGGAGAGAAACTGGGGGGTCTGAACTCAGAACCTCAAGCAAGTTAGAAAGCCTGGGTCACTAAGGGAAAAACTGGGGGCTAGAGGGTCACATGCTTCTCAGGGAGTGCAGGCAAAGGGGGCCAAGGGGCTGCACCAGGCCTGGGGAGGAGTCTAGAAACCAGGAGTTAGGGAGATGGAAATTTGAGCGGGGGGAGGTGGAGAACAGGGGGCAAGCGCTCTGAATCAAGTTCCCTGAATGGTATCAGCACGGTACTTGCTATCCTGGGGTTGTTCAGGGGGTCCCCCATGTTAGGGCCCTGTGCAAGGGGAAGAGTCTGCGGATCTGAGAGCGGTGGAGGGATCTCCCCTTCCTGGGCCTCCAACGCTGCGTGCAGAGCTGAGTGCCCGCGAGCCGCTTCCTCCCACAGGAAACCGCAGCTTCAGGCACACCCAGCTTGCAGGGAGCTTCGCCCACTGCCCGCCCGCTCGGGGGAGGCCCACGTGGGCAGCAGCAGACCGCTGAGGGGGCGTGTCCTGCTAGGGGCGTGGCCGGACCACGGGGGCTGGCGTGGCGTGCGAGAGGCCACGCCCACTTCCGTCTCTCAGTGGGCGGAGCCTGGGCCTTAACGGGTTTTGGCGGTTTCTCTGGAGGCTCTTGGCCGCGCATGCGTGGTGAGCCTCTGCGAGGCCCTGAGGTAGTGAGCGTTCCTCTCCTTCACAACGGGCGTCGGCCCCGCCTCCTTGCTAACGAGTCCTCAGGGTAACGTGGCCTTCGCTTCAGACACGCTTCTCTCGGCTGCCGCAGAGCCTCCCAGACGGTTCCCTCTCAGGCCTGCCATCGCAGGCTCTTTCAGCTCCTGCCTCCCACTCCCGGGTACACACACCCGGCTTCCCAGGCCCGCGCACGCAGGTTGGCCACTCCGACCACCCACAGGTCCAGCCAGAGCGCCGGCCGGTTAGCCCCGTCCCATCAAGTCTTGGGAACCAGAGTCCTTCCAGCGTCCTCTCGCTGGGCTCCTCGCAGGTTCTTCCAGCACGCCCCTCCCTAGCTGGCCCCTGACGCCCCGCCCTCCTCAGGTACCCTGCCCCCAGCCCGAACCGCGCAACCCTCGCACCTCCAGCTCCGCCCCGCCCCTCAACACCTCAGCCCCGCCCCTCAACCCACCCAGCCCAGCCCAGCCCCTCAGTTCACCCAGCCCCGCCCCTAACCACCCAGCCACGCCCCTCAACCCACCTCAACCCCGCCCCTCAACCCATCCCAGCCCCGCCCCTCAACCCATCCCAGCCCCGCCCCTCAACCCATCCCGGCCCCGCCCGTCAACACTCCCAGTCCCTCTCCTCAACCCAGCTCTGCCCCTCAACGCCTGCGGGCACCGCCCCTCTCCGGGCTCCAGTTCAAAACCCCGTAGATCCCCGCTTGTCTTCTCGCTGCCTCCGGGGCCACGCCTTCCAGTTTCCCCTCCCACGTCCTCTCCTTGGTCCTGGTCCCTCCCCTGCCGCTGTCCTCAGGCCGCATTGGCCCCTTATCTCCCCAGTAACCAAACCACAACAGTGAGCTAGGAGCACCACGGCCGGACAAGTTAGGCATTCCACCAGGTAGGGCCTGGGCCTCACTCTGCACGGGGTTCCCTTTCCTCTGTGATTCCTCCCCAAACAGCCCGCCTAGAGGAGAGCATAGGGGACCGCCCGACAGGCGCGGTTGAGGGTCGACCTATGAACCAGGAGACCACGGTTCCACTCCCTGTAGGACACATGCCTGGGTTGTGGGTTCGCTATCCAGGGTGGGGCGGCAGGAGGCAGCTGATCAATGATTCTCATCATTGATGTTTCTGTCTCTCCCTCTCCTGTCTGAAATCAATAAAAATATATTAAAAAAAAGAAAAGAAAAAGGAAAGCCTAGGGGACCTGTAACCCTGCCAGAGGCCAGAGTCCGAGCCGTGATGCAAGACAGAATGTAAGAGACAGGAGGTTGAGAGGAATGTGGGGAGAGCCCTGAGAGGTGTCCCCCTCCAATCCGTGGGAGGAATTGAGAGTCAGAGAGCGGCCGGAGCTGGTTCTGGGGTGACCTTCTCATTCCTAGTCCCTAGCTCATTGCCCACCTCCTCCCCACCCTCTCCCACTCTCTGTCTGAAGGGGTGGGTCCTGTGTCGCCTCTACAGGATACGCAGTCTTTGGCTAAGATGGCTGCAATGAGCACCCGCTCCGAGGAAGGAAGCGAGGTCTTCCAGGAAGGAGTAGGTAAGTCCCACGCTCCTTATTCTTCTCATTCTTCCCCTTAGTTTCCCCGGTTTCGGGTCCTGTGCTGCAGGGCTGTGGCGATAGGGAGGCCTCCCAGGAGCGCCCTCTAGTGGGGGCAGCGCATGTGTGAGCATGGACTTGGAGCTGGGCATAGGTACGGGGAAAAGCCTGGAGTGGGGTGGGCCGGGCGGACTTCCTGCAGGAGGGGACGTGTGAGTGGGGCCCAGAGCTCCCCAGAAGGGGAGAAGAAGGGGAGAGTTTCAGCAGAGAGAGCAGCCAGCGGCTACAGCTTCTGCACTGCTGGCACTTGTGCTCAGATTGTCCTTGGTGCTGGGAGCTGCCTCCACCCACTTACATGCCAGGAGCAACGCTTTGCACCGCCCCCAACCCCACATCGCAGCAATCAAAAACGTCTCCGTCCAAAACCAGTGTGGCTCAATGGATAGAGCGTCGGCCTGCGGACTGAAAGGTCCCCGGTTCGATTCCGGTCAAGGGCATGTATGTACCTTAGTTGCAGGCATATCCCCAGTAGGGGGTGTGCAAGAGGCAGCTGATCAATGATTCTCTCTCATTCATGTTTCTAACTTTCTATCCCTCTCTCTTCCTCTCTGTGAAAAATCAATAAGATATATTTAAAAAACAAACAAACAAACGTATGGGCCTAGCTAATGGTCATGGACAACAGAGGGGTGGGGGCATAGGTAGGGAGGGGTTTGGGATGGGAATGGGGGAATGAGGACAATTATGTGATACCATAACCAATAAAGAATTAAAAATAAATAAATAAATAAATAAATAAAACTGGGCATTCTAAAAACAAACAAACAAACAAACAAACAACAACAACAAAAAAACCCGTCTCCAGACATTGCCAAATGGTCCCGGGGTGGGGGTGGGGGTGTGTGTGGAACCACTGGGCCGAGGTAGGTGTGGTAGGCGGCGAACTGGTGGAGGAGACTTGGAGAGAAGGGTAGGGTCAGGTCATGTGGGGCCTGGAACACCAGGCTGAGGGGCTAGGAGTTGGTCCTGAGGGCGCTGGAGCAAGGAAGAGGCATGGTCCGCTCTGGTTGTAGGAAGGCCCTCTGGGGCTGTGGGAGGGGAGTGTGGGAGGTGAGGGAGGAGGCTGGGGTGATGGCCCAGACAGGAGGGAATAAGGTCTGGGCCTAGGAGATGGGCTGAGAAGGAGGAGGCGGGAGGATGGAACTGAGGATGGCTGGGCGGTGAAGGCTGAAGGCGAGGGAGGGAGCAAGAATGCAGCCCTGGTCACCTTCCTCCGCTCCCCCAAGCTCCAGTCTTGTGAGGTGGGTCCCTGAGGACTGCCCGGCCTTCTGGGAGCGCCCTCTAGTGGGCTTAGTGGGTAAAGTCTCCAGGTCAGCTTGGGGTACAGGGGAGTAGGAAGGGGTAAGAAAGCCTGAGGCAAACTACAGCAAAACCACTTAACTTTTCTTAAGATGCGGGACAAAGCTGACCACAACCTCGAGCCTGCAGTTTTCCACATCCCACAATAATTATACCAGCTGATTAGACACTTCCAGAGCAAAAGCTTTAATTCACTATAAACATATAATGGGCTTAGCAATGGTATTTTCCCTCTATTATTTTGCTTAACTTCGTTAATTCCGGGGACGGGGTGGGGGTGGGAGTGAGAAAGAGGAACATTTAAAATATAAGAGAGAATAAATTGGTTCATATTCCACAATAACTTGTTACAAAGCAACCGAAGGATTCGTTCACTCTTTGGCCAAAACCGACAAAAAGGAGGAGTGATAAAATTGACAATTTCTAATATTTGGTGTTAGGCCTCGGTGACCTAAATATTTGTTTATTTAACTGAGGAAAACAAATAATCTTCGCACAGGATCCTCATAGCCAATTGGCTTGGAGATCAACACTTCCCAGTGATACCAACAATAAGCAAGGCTTAACAACAAGACTGCACACACAGCCCACAAAGGGCACCAAGACTGACACCTCAGGTAACTGGGAGGCTGACCCACTAAACCATATAGGACACCTTAGCACACAAAGCCACCCTACCAACTCAGGGAAGCTGTGAAAATGCCGAGACAAGGAAATAGATCACAAACAAAAGAAATGGAGGAAAAGAAGAGACTGGATATAGAGTTCAAAACCACGCTTATAATGTTTTTCAAGAATTTTCTAGAAAAGGTCGATAAGACCTATGAGGAGATGAAAAGGGATCAACAAGAATTAATAAGGGATCAACAAGAAATAATAAGGGATCAATAAGAAATAAAGAATACATTGTCTGAAATAAAAAAAATATTATACAGTGTCCTAAAAACAGAATGGAAGATCCCAAGAATCAGGCCAAAGATTTGGAACATAAAGAGCCAGAAGACACTCCTCCACAGAAGCAAGAAGACAAGAGAATCCAGAAAATTGAAGATAATGTAAGAAAACTCTGGGACAACTTCAAGCGAACCAACATCAGAATTATGGGGGTCCCAGAAGATGAGAGAGAGCAAGATATCGAAAACATACTGAAAGAAATAGTGACAGAAAACTTCCCCCACCTGGTGAAAGAATTAGATTTACAAGTCCAGGAAGTGCACAGAACTCCAAACAAAAGGAATCCAAAGAGGACCACACCGACACATCATTATTAAAATTCCAAGACAAAGAGAGAATATTAAAAGCAGCAAGAGCAAAGAAGGTAGTTACCTATAAAGGAGCCCCTATATGATTGTCAGCTGATTTCTCAACAGAAACCATGCAGGCCAGACGGTAATGGCAAGAAATATTCAAAGTGATGAATAGCAAGAACCTACAGCCAAAAATACTCTACCCAGCAAAGCTATCACTCAGAATCGAAGGCCAGATAAAGAGCTTCAGTAATAATAAAAAAAAAAGCTAAAGGACTTCATCACTACCAAACCAGAATTAAATGAATTGCTGAAGGGGGTTCTTTCGGAAGAGAAAGTAAATAAAGATAAAAACTATGAACAACAAATATGTAGCTATCAACAAGTGAATCTAAAAACCAAGGGAATTTAAAAAATCTGATGAACAATATTAACTGGTGAATATAATAGAATCAGAGGTATGGAAGGGGAGTGAACTGACGATTCTCAGGGAAAAGGGGAGAGGGGGGTGTGGGAAGAGACTGAACATAAACTGTGCACCTATGGATGAGGACAATGGGGGGTGGGGAAAGGGCAGAGGGTGGGGTGGGAACCAGGTGGAGGGGAGCAATGGAGGGGAGGGGGCGGGAATGAGGAATATTTCCTCATTTATATAATATGAACAATAAAGATTTATTAAAAAAATAATCTGCACACAATCTAGGTGGGAGGAAATTAAAATGAATAAATAAAAGAAAGCTTGAGGCAGTCCTAGAGGGGTGCTGGAGACTGGGTCTTCAGTTGAGTTGCAGCTTGTGAGATCCTAAGGGATCCAGGATTCCTAGGGGGTGCGAGAGGGGCAGGGTCTGGATTCCTGCTGAGTGTCTTGCCTGGCCCCTCCCGCAGTGGACTGGGAGCTGAGCCGACTGCAGCGACAGTACAAGGTGATGGATGTTGAAAAGCGGGCCTACAACAGGGAAGTTCACCAGCGCATCAATAAGCAACTGTGAGCCAAATGCCTGCGTGTGTGTGTGAGTGTGTGTGTGTGTGTGTGAGTGTGGGGAGGGGGCTGTTAAGAGGCTGGGGGCCGGAATCGTGGGTCCAGCAGGAGGCAGGCCCAATGTGTCTGGCCTCTATTGATGCTGAGCTCTGCTTCTTTGCTGGCTGCCCCCCCCCCCCCCCTCCCGGGGCAGCGAGGAGATCCAGCGCCTGCAGGACGTGCGGAACAAGCTGCAGGTGCAGATCGGCATCGCCCAGAGCCAGGTCAAGCGCCTGCGGGACAGCCAGAGGCTGGAGAACATGAGCCACCTGCTCAAGTGCCGGGCCCAGGTGCAGGACGAGGTCAAGGAGCTGCAGGAGCAGACCCGAGCCCTGGACAAGAAGGTGGGTCCTGAGACCAGGCTCTGTGGATCCTACTTAGGGGCAATGCCTTCGCCGCTCTGAGCCTCAGCTTCCTCCTCCGAAAAACTGGGTCATGGAGAGCAGGCGCCTGGGAGAGTGGTGCTGGGGCTCCCGGGGGGCATGTGGGTGTTTAGGAAGGAGCACAGTCTCAGGTGCTCCGGAGACTGGGGCAGCGGAGGGGAAACCTGCCTCCGCAGAGCTGTGTGCCCACAGGCAAGGGTTGGCCTCTCTGGGGTGTAGTTCCTTCATCTGCCAGAAGAGGGCGTTGGTCATGGAGCGAGGTCTAGCCAGGTGTCCAACCCCACCTGTCTCAAGGTCTTGCTATTTGACCTTGGACTTTTCCATGCCAAGTGTTCGTTCACGTTTTTATGACCTTGCCTGGCCCCGCCCTCCGTGCATTGGGAGCTGAGCTAACGGCAGGGACAGTGATGGAGGGTGAAAGGGGCCTACAGCAAGGAAGTCCACCAGTTCCCTGGTCGGCAATGTGCAGCTCGCAAGCCACATACGGCTCTTTGGTCCCTTGCGTGTGGCTCTTCCACAAAATAGCACGGCCTGGGCGAGTCTATTTTGAAGAAGTGGCATTAGAAGAAGTGTAAGTTTAAAAAATTTGGCTCTCCGAAGAAATTTCAATCATTGTACCGTTGATATTTGGCTCTGTTGACTAATGAGTTTGCTGACCACTGCCCCAGTGTGTCAATAAGCAGTTGTGACTCATGCACAGATGCATGTAGCTATAAACATACACGCAGATATGCATCTGAAATCAACGTTTAGTCAAATCATGCTTTTTTCTCTGTGGGATTCATTGTCATTTTTTTTTCTCTACTCCACGAAAACGTCGCTTGCGCCCTGAATGGTGTCACTCAGTGGTTAGAACATTGGCCCCTGTACCAAAGGGTCTTAGGTTTGATTCTCGGTCAAGGGCACAGACTTGGGGTATAGGTTTGATTCCTGGCTCCCATTGGGATGAGAGTGGGAGGCAACCAATTGATGTGTCTCTCTCACATCAGTGTTTCTCTCACTCTCCTCTCCTCCTCCCGCCCTTCTACTCTCTCTAAAAAGCAATGGGAAAAATATCCCGGGGTGAGGATTAACAACAACAAAAGTGGTTAGGCTACTAGGGGTGTCGAACTCAATCAGAGAAGGGGCCAAAATCTAAAATCCAGCCTAAATCGCGGGCCGAATGGTTTACTGAACAGTCATAAACTATCATTGTGATGGAAACGCAGCGGAGTGCAGTGATGACAGCGCGGTGCGGGCCACAGTGCAAGGCCTGGCGGGACGGATTTTGGCCCGCGGGCCTTGTGTTTGACACATGTGGGCTAGACTAAGGGATTTCTTGCACAACATGGGATCACAAACGGGAAGTTGAAATGTATGTGTCTTGGTGGTCTGCATTCGTTTCCTATTGCTGCTGTAACAAATTATCATCAACTGGATGGCTTAAAATGATACACATCACCCAGCTGGCGTGGCTTGGTGGTTGACCATCAACCCATGAACCAGGAGGTCACGGTTCGATTCCTGGTCAGGGCATATGCCTACGTTGTGGGCTCCATCCCTAGTGTGGGGCGTGCAGGAGGCAGCCGATCAATGATTCTCTCTCATCATTGATGTTTCTATCTCTCTCTCCCTCTCCTTTCCTCTCTGAAATCAATAAAAATATATTTTAAAAAATCATGCACAACCCTAGCTGGTTTGCCTCAATGGATAGAGCGTCGGCCTGTGGAGTGAAGGGTCCCAGTTTGGATTCCAGCCAAGGGCACATGTCTGGGTTGCGGGCTCCATCCCCAGTAGGGGGCGTGCAGGAGACAGCTGATCAATGATTCTCTCATCATTGATGTTTCTATCTCTCTCTCCTTCTCAGTTCCTCTAAAAAAAAAAAATCAATAAAATGTATTTTTAAAAAAATACACAATGATCTCATGGCGCTTGAGGACAGAAGTCCATAATGGGCCCCACAGGACTAAAATCGGGATGTCCGCAGGGCTGTGCTCCCTCTGGAGGCTTCAGGGAGAATCTGTTTCTTGGCCTTTTCTGGTTTCCAGAGAGGCCACCTGTGTCCACTGATTCAGGGCTCCTCTCTTTATCTTCTTTTTTATTTATTTTATTTTATCCTCTCTCTATCTGCTGAGCCATCCGTGGCCAGTTGAGTTTTTCTTATGACCAGCGGAGTCTCCCTCTGACTTATGCTTTCATCATCTCTTCTCCTTTTCTGACTCTGACTCTCCTGCCTCCCTCTTTCACGTACAAGAACGCTTGTTATTACGTTAGGCCCACCCCGATAATCCTGGATGGTCTCCCCATCCCAGCATCCCAACTGTGTTACCTCCACAAAGTCCTTTTTGCCATTTAAGGTCACATAGTCACAGGTTACAGGGATTGGAATATGGACATCTCGGGGGGGGGGTGTTATTCTGTCTACCATTGATTGGTTGTGTCCTGCACGCTCCCTACTGGGGTTTGAGCCTGCAGCCCATGCACATGCCTCTGACCAGAACTGAACCCAGGACCCTTCAGTCCGCAGGCTGACGTTCCATCCACTGAGACAAACCAGCCAGGGCTGGAAGCTGTATCTGGATTCCCACACACCAAACTTTTGACTGCCTCTTGGTAGTTCAGTGGCTTAGTGGATGTTGGCGGCTTGATTGGTTATCCTTAGTCTCCCATGGAAAGTCACCAGAGTCAGGCCCAACCAGGGTATTATACTTTGTGAATTATAAGTTAGCTTTAGGTTCTTTTGGGTCTTCTACAAATATATCATCTGAAATAATGACTATTTCATGTCTTCATCTCCAGTCTTTACTTATTTTTTTTTTCTTTTCCTTACCATATGGCACTGGATAAAATCTCCAGTACAATGTTACATAGAAGTCATGCTATTTGGACATCCTTATGTTGTTACTGATCTCAAAAGTAATGTTTGTAGGTTTCACTATCAAATATGATGTTTGCTGTAGATGCCTTATAATCTTTATCAAATTTGGGGAACTTCCTCTTATTCCTGGCTCTCCGAGAGTTTTTAACATAAATGTACATGCTGAATTTTATCAAATACATTTTTTATGCCTGTACAGACTGGTGCTATGAACTGGTACCAGTTGAATGATTGTCATCAGTCTCTGATGTGATCGGTCCCAAAACTGAGAGTAAACATTTAGAAACAGCTTGTCTAGGTTCTGTCGAAGACACGTGTGGAGTCATACAACACACAAGCCTTAGGCGAGAGGCCATGTCTCACTCTATGTTTTTCTTGGCCAGTGTCTATTCTGCTCTCCGGTCTGTGAGTGATATTTCCACTGGTTATAGAATTCTAAATTGCCAGTTTTCCAGGTTTTTGGATTCTATGACATCCTTGAATCTGTAGATGTGTTCTTTCATTGGTTCCAGAATATTATCAGGTACTATCTTGTCACACATTACCCCCGTCCCCATTCTCTTTCTTCTTAAACTCTTATTCGATATATACTTAAACTCGCTCTATCTGCAATGTCTGTTAAGCACCCTTCCATATTCCCTATCTTTTTGTCTCTCTGTGCTGGATTCAGGGGGTGAGTTCTTCTGAACAAATCCTTCCTTCAGCTTTCATCAGGCTTGTTACCTGCCTCTCCAGTAGAACATAAATTACAGGAGAGCGGGGCCCTTGTCTGTTCACTGCTGTGTGCTCAGCACCGACCTAGAACCGTGCCCGGCACTTAGTAAGCACTCAAGAAATATTTGTTGAGCCGAAACCGGTTTGGCTGGTTCGATTCTGGCCAAGGGCATGTTTCTATTTCTCTCCCCTTCTCCCTTCCGTTCTGAAATCAATAAAAATATATCTTTAAAAATTGAATGAAATAATGCTACCTACATAGTTTGCTTGCTTCTTTCTTTTTTTTTCTCTTTTTTTAAAAAAATATATTTTATTGATTTTTTACAGAGAGGAAGAGAGAGGGATAGAGAGTTGAAACATCGATGAGAGAGAATCATCGATCAGCTGCCTCTTGCACACCCCCTACTGGGGATGTGCCCACAACCAAGGTACATGCCCTTGACCGGAATCTAACCTGGGCCCTTTCAGTCCGCAGTCCGATGCTCTATCCATTGAGCCAAACAGGTTTCAGCTGCTTGCTTCTTTCAAATGTGAAATGCATCCTGTGATAATTGTGACTCATTCATTTTTTGCTGTTGTGTACTATTTCATTAATGTATTCATTCACTCAGTAGCGATGGGCATTTGGTTGGTTCCAGTTTGAAGATGGTTACATGAATAATGCTTCTGTCAACATCCTTTCACACGGATCCCGAAGTGTACCTACCCTCAGAAGTGTAGTTGCTGGGTGGGAGGAAAAAACCCAACAGATAACCCTGTTTTTCTTCTGGAAGATGACTTTGGTTTACTTTCTTCCAGCACCGTTTCCATGGAAACCCACTGGGTTAAGGTACATAGGGGATGTCAGCTGTGTTCCCAGGCAGCAATGTTCATTATTAAAATAACCCCGGGAAGGACTGTGAGCGGGTTCATGGGTCCCCCGGGCCCCTGTGACTGAGACTGAATAGAAACCTCATTTCTCTGTGGGGCGTTTCCTACGACTGAGGGTGCTCCTGGCCGGGCTGGGAAGCTACCCTCAGGAGGTGGCTCCTCGCCAGAGCCCTTTTGGCTGCGTGGATACAGCATCGGCCCACGGACTGAAGATTTGCAGATTCGATTGCGGTCAAGGGCACATACCTCAGTTGCAATCCTGGCGATGGTTGGGGGCATGTGTGGGAGGTGACCAACCCATGTGTGTCTCTCACATCGATGTTTCTCTCCCTCTATCTCTCCCCTCCCTTCTACTCTCTCTAAAAATCCATGAAAAATATCCTTGAGTGAGGATCAAAAAGAGAGTGAGAGAGATGGTTCCTCTTGTGCATGAAGCTTCCCTAAGCCAGGGTAGGCAACACCTGCCCACTCATGTGGGATCAGCCACCTGGAGGTGTGAGCAGCAGCCCTGGACCCTCAACACAGATGTGTTTGGTGCTATCCTCCTAAGATGCCGTTGTTCCTTGTCCTCCATCCTTCTACAGAGTTACGTGAACGTGGTGCCAAATTATAGCCTCCTGGATCCCAAGACTGCTTTCCGGGGACTGTGTCCAGTGGCTGCAGCCCTGGATCTCAGGGCATGCCTATCCTCAAATGTAATCCTCTATAATAAAAGGGTAATATGCAGATTGACCCTAGCAGCAGAACAACCAGATCAACCACTGGACCAGTCATTATGAGGCACACTGGCCACCTCTCAGTCGCTTCCCCCAGCCGGCTGGCTCCCAATGGTGAATGGGAAACCGAGGGTGGGTAGCAGGGGGGAGGGGGTGGCACCAGGCCAAGGCCCCCATCCTGCCAGTCACCCCACACACAGAGGGCAACCTGCGGTGGGGGCAGGGTTGACCTCTTGGTTCCTGCCCATGGTCGGTAGGCTCCGAGCACCTGGTGAGGAGCGGGGAGCTGGGGGTGAGTGGCAGTGGGAGGTGGGGGGTGGGGCCGGCTGCAGGCAGCCGGAAAGATGGCCCTGATTGCAGGCCAGGACTATGGACTGTACCCATGCATGGATTCTGTGCACCGGGCCTTGGAGAGAACCACAGGGCAGGGACCTTCCCAGGACTCCTAGAAGCTGAGGACCACAGTCTACAGCCGCATGGAACTGAATTCTGCCACCGAGCTCCGGGCGAGTCCCAGCTGAGACCACAGCCCCATCGGACACCTGGATGGCGGCTCTGTGAGAGCCCGAGGAGAGGATGGAGCTGCGCTGTGTCGGCCTCTGACCCGTGGAAACTTGGAGATAACGAGTTTGTGTTAATTTGTTATGCAGATATAGAGAAGGACACTCAGTGTCAAGCTGCCAGCCATGTAGCTCAAGAAATTCCTGAATATGGAACCATCAGCCCCCAAGTGCCGTCCCCAGGGGCCCATCCCATTTAAGTAGTTTGGACCAGCCAACCCAGTAAGTGGTCATGTCCTCACAACCTGGAGACCATTAGGAAATAGTCTGTGTTTCGCCGAAACCGGTGTGGCTCAGTGGGTAGAGCGTCGGCCTGCGGACTGAAAGGTCCCAGGTTCGATTCCGGTCAAGGGCACGTACCTTGGTTGCGGGCACATCCCCAGTAGGGGGTGTGCAAGAGGCAGCTGATCGATGTTTCTCTCTCATCGATGTTTCTAGCTCTCTATTCCTCTCCCTTCCTCTCTGTAAAAAAAAAAAAAAAAGAAAAAGAAAAAAAAGAAAATAGTTTGTGTTTCATCCTCCAAAGCCATGGCTACCTGCCCGAGGCATGCTCACGCCCATTGGTGCTGAAGTCGGATCAGACAAGGCCACTGTATTTCTCTGTCGACGTCTGTGCGGTGCTTTCGCTCTAAAAGATTTAAAATCTTACTGGGGTCACTGTGGCTCCATGTGCAGGTGGGAGAAATAACACAGAGAGAGTCTCTGTGCATTTTGCCCAGTTTCTCCCAATGGTAACACTTTTGGGGTATTTGATTTTTATCACAGCAACTACCACCAACTGTCTCACACACACGGAAGGCCGAGAGGCATGTGACAACATGCTCAAAATCACCTGTCATTTCAGAGATGCAAATCAAAACAACCATGCGGTACCATCTCACACCTGTCAGAATGGCCCACATCAACAAATCAACAAACGACAAGTGCTGGCGAGGATGGGGAGAAAAAGGAACCCTCGGGCACTGCTGGTGGGAATGCAGACTGGTGCAGCCGCTGTGGAGAACAGTGTGGAGCTTCCTCAGAAAACTGAAAATGGAACTCCCATTTGACCCAGTGATCCCCCTTCTAGGAATATATCCCAAGAAACCAGAAACATCAATCAGAAAGGACATACGCACTCCTATGTTCATAGCAGCACCATTTACAATAGCTGGGATTTGGAAACAGCCTAAGTTTACCATCTACACAATGGCAAAAAGAAGGAACTCTCACCATTTACAACAGCATGGATGGACCTGGAGAGCATTATGCTAAGTGAAATGAGCCAATCAGAGAAAGATAAGTATCAGGATCTCCCTCACTTGTGGAATATAATGAACACCACAAACTGATGAACCAAAACAGACCCCAAGACACGGAACCTTCAAACAGACCATCAAACCTCAGAGGGAAGGCAGGGGAGAGGGGGGTGGGGTGGAGAGTCAGGGGGTAAGAGATCAACCAAAGAACGTGTATGCATATAAGCAGAACCAATGGACACAGACAACAGAAGGCTGAAGGCCGGGCTGGGGGCTGGGGGCTGGGGGCAGGCTGGGAGAGAACAATGGAGGGAAAAGAAAAAATAGGTAATATTTGCAACAATAAAGATTTTTAAAAATATATATTTTACTGATTTTTTTTACAGAGAGGAAGAGAGAGGGATAGAATTAGAAACATCAATGAGAGAGAATCATCGATCAGCTGCCTCTTGCACACCTCCTACTGGGGATGTGTCCGCAACCAAGGTACATGCCCTTCACCGGGATCAAACCTGTGACCCTGGAGTCCACAGGCCGACGCTCTATCCACTGAGCCAAACCGGTCAGGGCAACAATAAAGAATTTTCTAAAAAATTAAAGAGACAGTTTCACAAAGATGTGACATCCTCAAGATAACCACAGCACCAGCTCCTGTGGAGCCGGCGAACTGCCCTGCCCTGACCTCGCAGTTCCCGTGGTGTCTGGCCCTGACCGTGCGTTTCCCTGGACAACAGATCCCGCCCCGTGCTGCCCCCTGGGCGCTGGCTGCAGCGCTGACGGGTGGGATGACAGGAATGGATTGTCTCTCCGTACTGGAGGCCGGAAGTCCAAGATAGAGGTGTCGGCAGCATGGGTTTCTGCTGAGGGCTGCGAGGGAGGATCCGGTGCGTGCCTCTCCCCCGGCTCTGCGGTTTGCTGGCAGCCTTCGGCGTTCCTTGGTGAGTGGGAACATCACCCTGGTCTTTGCCTATGTGCTCACCTGTCATTCTCCCTGTGCCTGTCTGTGTGTGCAAATGCCTCCCCCCCCCCATAGACATTTTTATTGATTTCAGAGGGGGAAAGAGGGAGAGAAGGAGAGAGAGAGAGAGAGAGAAACATCAATGATGAGAGAGAATCAATCGGCTGCCTACCCTAAGCCCCCACTGGGGATCTAGCCCGCAACCCGGGCATGTGCCCTTGACCGGAACCAAACCTGGGACCCCTCAGTCCGCAGGCCGGCGCTCTATCCACTGAACCACACCAGCCAGGGCCAGATGTCTCCTTTCTATGAAGACACCAGTCCTATTGGATGAGGCCCGCCCTCAGGACCTCATTTTAGCTTTCGTACCTCTGAGCGATTCTGGCTCCGGCTGAGGTCACTTCCGAGGTCTCTTCGACACATAAATTCTGCGGGACACGGGCAACCTAGCCTAGCGCACAGCCGTAGGCAGCGTGTGAGTTCACGCAGTCCGCACGTTTTGTTCAGACCTGCTGTGTGTCAGGCAGGAAAAGAGACAAACATTGGCCTCCTCGGAGCTTCCAGTGCAGTTGGGGAGGCAGCACACCCCGAGCCAGTGGAGGTGGGTAGCGAAGGGAGGACAGCCTAGAAGCGGGGTTCAGCAGCAGACCGCGCACTCTGCGGGCAGGAGGGCTGGGTCTCGCCATCTCCGCCTCCAGCCTCCGCTCTGTCTGCTGGCCTCGCTGTCCCAGGATGCTCGGTGCGGTGGGGACGGTGACAGCGGCAAGTCCTGAGGGGCCATCCCCCCAGCTCACACGTTTCCCCCAAATCCCAGGAAAGGGTTCTGGCTGGCTCCGCCCGGGTCACATGTTCTCCTCGCGGCCAGTCCCTGTGACCGCGCCACGCTGGGTCCTGGGCTGGCAGGGTGGCACTCTGTGATTGGGAGCCAGAACCCCGGGGAAGGCGGGGGGCTGTCCACAGAAGGGCACTCAGCCCCCCCCCCCCCCCCGCACCTCCTTCCTGTTGTGGGGTCGCGAACCCAAGGTTCAAAATAAGGCCACCAGAGGTTGATGATTGATTAAAAAAAAAAAAAAAGCAGCCAAGGATTTATGGAAAAACTGGCCAGGACGGCCGCCAGAGCACCACACGCAGGTGGAGTCCACACGACCGCACTGTTCCAGGGGCAGGCAGTCTTTTTAAAGGTCCAGACCACAGGAATGTTTCTTTGTTCTGAATTCTAAATTCTGAAGGCTGGGAACAGCCCAGAGGGGACAATGGAATGAGCCCTATATTGCCATAGCAGATAGTACAGAAGCAGAGCTGAGCGGTTACTCTCTAAAGGTTATCTGCAGTGTCTACCCCTGAAGCCACTGAGTCTGTGGGAATCCATCTCCGGTGGTCCTGGCCCACGGGCACAGGAAAACTGCCTTAGCCTCCAGGTCTCCGTCTGGAAGCTGAGGCAACTACCCTATTGCTCAAGCGAGTGAGCGAGTGCCGAAGCCGGAACAGCAGGGTTAAAATTCAAACGGCAGTTTTTACCCAAGTATGGCTGCCACCATACTTCGTCTCCGTGGTCTCCGTCTCTCCCGCATCCGGCCCGCACTCAGGCACCGCCCTCTGCCCGCCAGATCCAGGAGTGGGAGGCCCGGCTCTTTGCCAGCGGCAAGGACCCCAGGGCCCCCGGGGTCTTCCTGGGCCAGAAGGCCAAGACTCGGAAGAAGATCAAGATCGTGGAAGACCAGCTGGACAGGGTGAGGGTCGGCCTCGTGGCTCTTCCCAGGCCTGACCTCTGGGGCTGGGGGAAGAATGAGCATGGGGTCAAGTCCTGGGAATGGGGGGCGGGGCCAAAGGGGGCCACGCAGATTCCAGGGAGGCCTGGGTGCTGGGCTCCCCGAGGGGGTCAGGAGACGGGATCCCAGAGGGATGGAGGGTCCCCCGGGGGAAAGAAACTGATGCTTGGGCTGTTTTTTTTTTTTTGTTTTTTTTTAAAGAGATACTATTTATTTATTTATTTACTTATTTATTTTAAATATATATATTTTATTGATTTTGGACAGAGAGGAAGAGAGAGGGATAGAGAGTTAGAAACATCCATGAGAGTCATCGATCAGCTGCCTCTTGCACACCCCCTACTGGGGATATGCCCGCAACCAAGGCACATGCCCTTGACCGGAATCGAACCCGGGACCTTTCAGTCCCCAAGCCGACGCTCTATCCATTGAGCCAAACCGGTTTCGGCTGATGCTTGGGCTCTTACGGAGGGGCTGGCCGATGCTCTCAGGACGCCCCCGTGGGAAGGGGGCTTCCTGTCTGAGTGTGGAGGAGGGCGGCAGGCCAGGCCTCAGACCCTCTCCGGCACCCTGACCCTCCCCTTCCCCCACCCCCAGGTCACCTGCCGCTTCGACATCCAGCTGGTCCGGAACGCGGCCCTGCGGGAGGAGCTGGACCTGCTGCTGGTCCAGAGGAACCACTATCTGAACATGAACCGCAAGCTGCACAAGGTCAGCGGCCCCCGGCCCGGCCCCCGGCCCACCAGGGAGAAGGGCTGCTTCCTAGCGCTCCGGCCTCCGGTACCAAACGGACGACGCCATCGGCTTACTTAACGTTCTGAGGGAACGGGGACCGGAACGCTGAGAGATGTCATTTAGACTATTATCACCCGGGGCAACCGCGGAGCCAGCCAAACCATGTGCATCCCCTGGGTTTCTCAGTAACCTTTGAAGTCCTTTGGAGAATCTTCCCTCCCCCCTGCACCCTCCCTCCCTTCCTCCCTCTCTTCTTCCCTCCCTCCCCGCTCCCTTCCCTGCAGGAATAGGACAAAGAGCTACTTCTCCTTCACCAAGGCCCGCCATTTGCCGCATCTACTCTGTGTAATTATTATCTTTACTGGAAACAGCTTATTTTTATATCGGCGGAACTATTGGAGGGCACACAGCAGGCAGACACTGTGTCTCTAAGTTCAGTGTGTATTTTCCTAAAAACAAGGCCATTTCCTCCCCCTCCCCCACCCTTTATCCTCACCCAGGAATATGCTTTTATTGATTTTGATAGAGAGAAGAAGGGAGAGAGAGAGAGAGACATCAATCAGTTGCCTCCTGTATGCACCCCAACTAGGAATTGAACCAAAAACTTTTTAAAAAATATATATTTTATTGATTTTTTTTATAGAGAGGAAGGGAGAAGGATAGGGAGTGAGAAACATCGATCAGCTGCCTCCTGCACACCTCCTACTGGGGATGTGCCTGCAACCAAGGTCCATGCCCTTGACAGGAATCGAACCTGGAACCTTTCAGTCTACAGGCTGATGCTCTATCCACTGAGCCAAACCGGTTTCAGCGAAACTGTTTTGGTGTGCGGGATGATTCTCTAACCAACCGAGCCACCAGCTGCGGCTTTTTGTCTTTTGTGTGGTTACTAGAGGCCCAGTGCATGGATTCATGCTCTGGTGGGGTCCCTCGGCCTGGCCTGCGCCCTTTTGGAACCTAGGACCCTCAGGGAATGTTGGAGAGCTGGTTTTGGCTCAGTCCTCACAGCCCCGATCCAGACAGGAGGGAGCCTGATCCTGTGGGTTGAGCATCTGCCCCCTGGTGGTCAGTGCCTGTCATAACAACTGGTCTATATATATTGTAGATGCTCTTTGATATACAGCGGGGCTCGTTTGCTTCAGCTGTGTCCAGTTTTAGGTTGTATTTCACGCCCATCCTTGCTGGCTTAGTGTTCTCTATGGATGTGTAAAGCTGGAACAGGGTTCCCAAACCAAAATCACTCCAACAGGCATCCCAGACCCAAACACTTCCTCCCCCGTCTTCCATGTCTTCCCGCCCAGGCCCTTTGGCTTCCGGCTACCCCTCCGGGGTTTCTTTCTTTTTTCTTTTTTTAATATTTTATTGATTTTTAGCAGAGAGAAAGGGAGAGAGATAGAGAGCTAGAAACGTTGATGAGGGAGAAACATCAACCAGCTGCCTCTTGCACACCCCCTACCGGGGATGTGCCTGCAACCAAGGCACATGCCCTTGACCGGAATTGAACCCGGGACCTTTCAGTCCGCAGACCGACGCTCTATCCACTGAGCCAAACCGGCTTCGGCCCTCCTGGGTTTCTTTTTGCAAAAGTAAATGTGTGTGCGTGTACATGTATACAATGTGTATGTATGCAGTGTGTACATGGTTATGTATGTATGCGTGCATGTTTGTGCATTATTATTATTTAAAAATCACTTATTGATTTTTAGAGAGAGAGGAAGGGAGAAAGAGAGAGAAACATGGATGTGAGAGTGCAACATTGATCGGCTGCCTCCTGCACGCCCCCTCCCGGGCATTGAGCCCACAACCCCGGGCACGTGCCCTGACCGGGAATCCAGCCTGCCACCTTTAGGTGCGTGGAACGACACCCAACCAATGAGCCACACTGGCCAGGGCTACCTGTGTCTTACTAATACACACATGACATACTGTGTACACACACGAGTGTGTATGTTACCAGTATGTGTGTGTCTACGTACATTGTACATGCAAGAATGCATGGACACGTTGTGCATGTGTAGAAATAAACCGTTGCCTCCCTTCTGACTCAGGAAAGATCCCTTTTTACTCATAAACTGCAAAGACATTTCTGTGGAAGCAGAAAACCGACGAGTATGGTCACACGGTGAGAGTCTCACACACAGCCCTGGCTGGTTTGGCTCCGTGGACAGAACGTCGGCCTGCGGGCTGAAGGGTCACAGGTTCGATTCCGGCCAAGGGCACATGCCTGGGGTTGCAAGCTCCATCTCCAGGGGAGGGCGTGCAGGAGGCAGCGGATCCCTGATTCTCTCCCATCACAGATATTTCTGTCTCTCTCTCCCTCTCCCTTCCTCTCTGAAATCAATAAAAAAATAAAAAAGGAACGTCACACACACCGATGTCTGAGCCGGAGCAGCAGAGGTCGAGGTCGGCGCGCTCAGGCGTCCGCCGCTGCGGGATCAGCCCTCGGCGGCAGCCGCTCCTCCGCGGGGCTTTCCGCCCGCTGCCCGCCCCGCAGCCCCTGGTCCGGAAGCTCCGCATCCCCGGGCGCGGGACTCTGCTTCTCCGGGGAGACGGGCGGCCTGGGACAGACCCTCCGCTTTGTTCCCGCAGGAGATGCACTTGATGCGGCACACGCTCAGCGCCCTCACCGTCTCCTCCATCACCGCCTACTCCATCAGGTAGGCCGCGCTTCCACCGGGCAGTGTGTGTGTGTGTGAGTTGGGAGGTGGTGGGGGGTGGTGGTGATGGTTCTGAACCCAAGAAATGGGCCATCAGAGCCCATACTGCTTTTCATGAGGCGGCCCTTTCTCTGGCGGCCCTGCCAGAAGCCGGGGGCGGGGTCCTGCGGGGGGTGGGGAGGGGGTGTGAGATCAGTCTGAGAGGGTGGCCTGAGACAGGGCCTCTGCGTCTCCTGCTGCTCCTGGGCTCCCTCTCTCCTTCCCTCCTCTCCTCTCCCTCCCCTCCCCCTCCCTCTCCCTCCTCTCCCTCTCCCTCTCCCTGTCCCCCTTCCTCTCCCTCTCCCCCTCTCCCTCCCTCCTCTCCTCCTCCTCTCCCTCCCTCCTCTCCTCCCCCTCTCCCTCCCCTCCCCCTTCCTATCCTTCTCCTCCCTCTCCCTTTCCCCCTCCCCCTCTCCCTCCTCCCCCTCTCCCTCTCCCTCTCCTTTCCTCCTCCTCTCCCTCTCCTCCCCCTCTCCCTCCCTCTCCCTCAGACCCAGCGCCTTCTGAGCCCCCGCCCTGGGGTCTGCACCCAGATGGCTTCCTGCCTCTTCTCAGGACCCCGTTCCTGCCTCGGGACTTCCTCCTGACGGTGGTGGCTCCTGATTCCTCCTGCCTCCGGCCGGAGCCACGTCTGTCTTGTGGTTTCTGGGAGGTGTCCCGAGGCACAGACAAACTTGCCGGCTTTATTTTTTATTTTTTTTATTGTAAATGTATCTTTATTGATTTCAGAGAGGAAGGGGGAGGGAGAGAGAGAGAGACATCAGTGAGGACAGAGGATCATTGATCGGGTGCCTCCAGCACACCCCACACACTGGGGACCAAGTCTGCAACCTGGGCCTGGGGCCTGACCTGGAGTCAAACCGTGACCTCCTGGCTCATAGGTGGACCCTCCTCCACCGAGCTGGGCTGGGGATGCCCGGAGCCTCCGGGAGGAGGGTGACAGAGTAAGCCTTCGAGGACTTTGAACAGAGCCACGAAGCTGGTGCTCTGGGCAAAGGCGTGGAGGTGGGAACGGAGCTCCCACCGACCCCTCCGACTCTGACCCTGTGGTCTGCGAAGTACGACCGGGCACTCTGCACGCACAGGTGGCTGGGCTACATGTAAAAGTCTAGCAGCTACGGCCTGGCCGGGTAGTCAGGTGGCTAGAGCGTCGTCTCGCTACGCCAAGGCTGTGGGTTTGACCTCCATTCGGGGCACATGCAAGAAGCAACCAATGAATGCATAACCAAGCGCGACGACAAGCCAATGTTTCTCTCTCACACATAAGTAAATACATTTTTATTTTATATTTTAAATACATTTTTATTGACTTTAGAGAGGAAGGGAGGAGAGAGAGAGAAACATCAAATGATGAGAGATCATATTGATCGCCTGCCTCCTGCACGCCCCCTACTGGGGATGGAGCCCTCTGACCAGAATCGAACCGGGGACCCTTCAGTCGGCAGGCTGTCGCTCTATCCACTGAGCCAAACTGGCCAGAGCTAAATAAATAAAATTTTAAAAGCAGCTTAGAGCTGAAACCGGTTTGGCTCAGTGGGTAGAGGTCCCAGGTTCGATTGCTGTCAAAGGCATGTACCTTGGTTGCGGGCGCATCCCCAGTGGGAGGTGGTGCAGGAGGCAGCTGATCCATGTTTCTCTCTCATCGGATGTTCCTAACTCTCTACCCCTCTCTCTTCCTCCCGGTAAAAAATCAGTAAAATATATTTTAAAAAATAAAAATAAATAGCCGAGACCGGTTTGGCTTAATGGATAGAGCGTCGGCTTGGGGACTGAAAGGACCGGGGTTCGATTCCGATCAAGGGCAAGTACCTTGGTTGTGGGCATATCCCCGGTAGGGGTGTGCAAGAGGCAGCTGATCGATGACTCTCTCTCATCGATGTTTCTAATTCTCTATCTCTCTCCCTTCCTCTCTGTACAAAATCAATAAAATATATATTTAAAAAATAAAAAATTAAAAAAAATAAAAAGTAGCTTAGAAGCTACCTTCTCAGATGTGCAGCCAGGGGAGGCTCAGGAATGAGGCTTCTAGGGGCCCCAGAGTCCTAGCAGGGTGTGTGCACAAGTGCTGGTGACACCACCTACCTGTCCGAAATGAGGTCCTGGGCGGCCCAGCCCCTTCCAACTGCACGCGCCCCCTCCCCCCCCCCCCCCCCCCTCACACACACACTCCAGCTCGCTGATCTCATCACCTGGCTGTCCCCTTCCAGGCCTGAGTGTCTAACTGTATCGCCAGCCTGCCCCCTCCCTTCTCCCCCCCGCCCCCGCCCCCGTGCCAGGCGCCCCCCATAACGCGGGGGCCCTGCCCTGCCCGGGGGGCCAGCCAAAGAAGGGGGTGCAGGCGGTAATAAAGAGCAGGAAGCTTTTCTGTGAGCGGAAGGAGTGCAGTCAGGGAGACGCAGGTTCAGGCAGCGGCTCAGTGGCTCTGGAGAGAACAAAGGGCCGGTTTGTACCTCGAGGCAGAAGCCACAAGGCTCCTTCCCGCGCAGAGGCCGGGGGCTGGGCTCCCGGCGCGGCGGGGAGGGGACGCCCGGTCCCTGCGCCTGGAAGCCCGCGCGGCTCCGGGCGGCCTCAGGCTCGGCCTCCGACCCCGTTTAGCAGCTTAACAGCCGCCCCGGGACCGAGGCAGAGGCGCCCGCCCCGCCCCATAGCCTCAGAGCCGACGTGAGCGGCTCCCCGAGCCACGCCGGTTCCACTCACGTCACTGTCTCCACGGTCAGCTCGTGGGCAAGGCCGTCAGCCCCTTACCGGGCCTGGCACCCCCGGGCCCGACTCCTGCCCCTCCTCGGGAACCTAGAAAGTTCTCTGTCTTTTGTGACCTCAGGGGAACAGTACACTGAGTCTGCCCCGCCCACCCCTGCGACCCCAGGTGGACCCCGCCCATCCACCCCGCACCCCAGACTGCGCCCACCCACCCCTGCGACCCCAGGTGGACCCCGCCCATCCACCCCGCATCCCAGACTGCGCCCACCCACCCCTGCGACCCCAGGTGGATCCCGCCCATCCACCCCGCATCCCAGACTGCGCCCACCCACCCCTGCGACCCCAGGTGGACCCCGCCCATCCACCCCGCACTCCCAGGACTGCGCCCACCCCACCCCTGGGACCCAGGTGGACCCCGCCCATCCCCGCAATCCAGACTTGCGCCCACCCACCCCTGGGACCCCTGCGTGGACCCCGCCCATCCACCGCATCCCAGGACTGCGCCCACCCACCCCGGGACCCCTGGTGGGGACCGCCATCCACCCGCATCCCAGGGCCTGCGCCCACCCACCCCTGCGACCCCAGGTGGACCCCGCCCATCCACCTCCGCATCCCAACTGCGACCACCCAACACCTGCGACCCCAGGTGGATCCCGCCCACTTCCACCCCGCACCCCAGACTGCGCCCACCCCCCCTGCGACCCAGGTGGAACCCCGCCCATCCACCCCGCACCCCAGACTGCGCCCACCCACCCCTGGGACCCCAGGTGGACCCCGCCTATCCCCAGACTGCGCCCACCCACCGGTCCCCGGGACCCCAGGTTGATTCTAACCCCGCCTCTGAACCCCCCACCCCGCGCAGGGAGGAGGCCAAGAGCAAGATGAGCATGCTGCGGGAGCGCGCCGACAAGGAGGGCGTCCAGAACGAGACGGAGGTGCAGATCCTGCAGCGCCAGATCGCGCACCTGGACCAGCTGCACAGCTTCCTGCAGCTCAAGAACCACGACCGGCAGGCGGACCCGGTGGTCCTGGAGAAGCGCGAGAAGCGCGGTGAGGCCGCCGCCCGCTCTGCGCCCCCCTCCCCCCCTCCCCCCAGGCCGGGCCGCGGAGAGGGCGGGGCGGGCGCCCGTCTCCGGTTCTCAGGGCGCACGGCCCGGGCCTGCAGGGGGCGCCGGGGAGCAGGGGCCCTGGGGCTAGTGGCCGCGGGGGGGGGGGGGCGCTCACCTTCACGGCCCCGTGCCCCCAGCCGAGAGCCTGCGGAAGACGTCGCAGGAGAGGCTGGTGCTGCGGTACGAGGACACCCTGAGCAAACTGTACCACCTGACGGGGGAGAGCGACCCGGAGCTGCTGGTGAACAAGTACCTGGAGAGTGAGTGCCCGCGCTGCCGGGAGGGGGCGGTCGCGGCCCGCGCACCCCGCTGTGCCTGGTCCCCGACGGCCCTGGGACCCTCCGCCCGCCGCGGGGAGGAGCGGGCGCTCCCACAACCTCCTCCTGTGGCCGCCTCTGCGCCACCCCACTCCTCTTGCTTCTGCCTGTCCCCTCGCCTCTGCATCTCTGTCCCTTCCGTGGCTGTATCGCTGTCTTTGTTATTTGTTATTTTTATTTTATTGATTTTTCACAGAGAGGAAGAGAGAGAGATAGATAGAGAGTTAGAAACATCGATGAGAGAGAATCATTGATCAGCTGCCTCCTGCACACCCCCTACTGGGGATGTGCCCGCAACCAAGGTACATGTCCTTGACCGGAATCGAACCCGGGACCTTTCAGTCCGCAAGCTGACGCTCTATCCACTGAGCCACGCCGGTTTCGGCAGCTGTCTTTTTTATTTTTTATTTTTTGTCTTGTTTTTGTTTTAAATATATTTTTACTGATTTCAGAGAAGAAATGAGAGAGATATAGAAACATCCATGATGAGAGAGAATCATGGATCGGCTGCCTCGGGCACCCCCCCCCCCCCCCCCCACGACTGGGGATGGAGCCCACAACCTGGGCATGTGCCCTTGGCCAGGATCAAACCGGGGACTGTGTGGCGGCTGTCTTTTTGTTTCTGTTGGGTTTCTCTGGGCTTGGCCTGTCTCCTGCCTCCCCCATGCCCTGCTCCTGGGCCCGGGCCTCGCTCTCCGAATCTCCCCAGCCCCCTTCACCCTGATTCTCCCCTGTGTCCCCGCCGCTGCCTGCCTGTCTCCCTCACATCTACTCTGGGTCTTTGTGTCTCTCTCTGCGGCTCTTTCTCTCGCTCTGGCTCTCCGTTTGATTCTCTGCGTCCCCTTTCTCTGTCTGTGTCTCTCTGTCTCTATCTGTGTCTCTCCATCTCTGTCTCTCCGTCTCGCCTCCGTGCTGTCTTTCTCAGCACCCCCCTCTCTGTCCGGAGCCCCGCTCCTCTTCGCTTCTGGTTCTGTATCTCCCGCGCCTCTGACTCTGTGTCCCGGACCCCCCCTCCCCGCCCAGTGGAGGAGCGCAACTTCGCCGAGTTCAACTTCATCAACGAGCAGAACTCGGAGCTGGAGCGTCTGCGGGAGGAGATCCGGGGGGTAAGGCCCGCGCGTCCGCCTGTCCGTCCGGAGCCCTGCCCCTGGCCTCGGCCCCGCCCCCTCCTCCGCGGGCAGCCGGCCCAGCTTCGCCCTCGCCCGCAGATGCGGGAGGCCATGAAGACGGTGCACACTGGCCACCTCGCCCGCCGCTCGCTGAAACAGGAGCTGCAGGCTTCGGTGCTGGAGCAAATAGCGGAGCTGCGCTCTGACGCCGACAGCCTGGAGGCCCGCGCCCAGAAGCTGAGGGAGCAGGTGGAGAAGTTCAAGACCGGTGAGCACCTGCGCCGCCTCTTCACCGGGGCGCACGCGATGAGCACGCGGCGGGGCCAGGCCTCTGCTGGCCATTGGGAGAGTTCCAGGTGTTACCCTGTGCACTCACTCACTCTCCGCATATCCACCATCCATCCATCCATCATCCATCCATCATCCATCCATCTAGTACCCATCCATCCATCATCTATCATCCACCCATCCATCATCCATCCATCCATCCATCCATCCGGTATCCATCCATCCAGTATTCATTCATCCACCCATCCATCATCCATCCATCCATCCAACCATCCATCATCCACCCATCCATCATCCATCCGTCCATCCATCCATCCTTCCATCCATCTGGTATCCATCCATCATCCATCCATCCATCCATCCTTCCATCCAGTATTCATCCATCTATCCATCCATCCAGTATCCATCCATCCACCAGTATTGATCCATCCATCCATCATCCATCTATAGTATCCATCCATCCATCCATCCATCCATCTAGTATCCATTCATCCTTCCATCCATCCATCTAGTATTCATCCATCTATCCATCCATCCCTCTAGTATTGATCCAGCCATCCATCCATCATCCATCTATAGTATCCATCCATCCATCCATCTAATATCCATTCATCCTTCCATCCATCCATCCATCTAGTATTCATCCATCTATCCATCCATCCATCCATCCATCCATCATCTAGTATTGATCCATCCATCCACTCAACTAGTATTCATCTATCCATCCACCCATCCATCTAGTGATCATCACCCATACACACCCTGACCAGGGATCAAATTGCAACCATATATATATATTGTATGTTGCCGAAACCGGTTTGGCTCAGTGGAATGAGCGTCGGCCTGGGGACTGAAGGGTCCCGGGTTCGATTCCGGTCAAGGGCACGTACCTGGGTTGCGAGCACATCCCCAGTGGGGAGTGTGCAAGAGGCAGCTGATCGATGATTCTCTCTCATCGATGTTTCTAACTCTCTATCCCTCTCCCTTTCCTCTCTGTAAAAAATCAATATATATATATATATATATATATATATATATATTTTATTGATTTTTACAGAGAGGAAGGGAGAAGATTGGTTGCCTCCTGCATGCCCCCCACTGGGAATCAAGCCTGCAACCCGGGCCTGTGCCCTGGCTGGGAATACAACCATAACCTGCTGGTTCATAGGCCAATCCTCAACCTCCCCAGCAGGCTGGCCCGCCGGCCGGCCGGGCTCAAACTCAAAACCTCATGGTGTGTGGGACGGTGTGCTAACCATGGGACCACCCGGCCAGGGCCGGTGCAGACTTTCTCGCTGAGCCTCGGTGCCTTCATGAACAGCAGAGCAGCAGTTAACTACGGGACATAGCACCCCGCACCGCCCTCCTCCCGGTGGGTCATGATAATGGCTCACCCCAGCGGTCTCAGGCACCTGGGTGTGAAAACAAAGCCAAGATAAAATTTTAAAAAAGAAGAAATTAAAAAAAGAAAAAAGAAAAGAAAAAGAAAACAGAGCCGGCCGCCTGCGGGCGTTTCTTTGGAGAGGCCCTGAGCTTCTGAACCGATGGGGGCTGGGCCGTCCCTGAGCTGTGTGTGGGGGTCTCCCCGGGAGGGTGCCTTCCGCTTGTCCCTGCCTCCCTCTCGGTCCGCCTTCCGCGGCGCCCAGCCCGTGGGGACGCCTTCCAGCTGCGGTTCCACAGAAGAGGCCTGGGGACTGGGGCGGGGAGAGGGCTGGCCCCGGCGGGCACCGGATTGGACAGCCTGTCCCCCGCCCCCTGCCCCCCGCAGCCATCCAGCAGCTCTTCGCCAAGGCCCGCTGCGACAGCACCATCATCAACGACCTCCTCGGGGTCAAGACCTACATGCGGGACCGCGACATCGGCCTCTTCCTGGGCCTCATCGAGAAGCGGCTGGTGGAGCTGCTGACGGTGCAGGCCTACCAGAACGCCCAGGTGGGGCCGGGAGCCCCAGCCCGGGGGCGGGGGGGGGGGGGCGGGGGGGGGGGGGGGGGGGGGGGGGGGCGGGGGGCGGGGGGGGGGGGCGGGGGCGGGGGCGGGCCTGGGCTCACCCCCGCTCCCCCCTCCAGAGCTTCACCGTGTCCAGCTTGTCCATCGCCGCCCTCACGGTGCTGGGCCAGAGCCCCGAGGACCAGCCCAAGAAGGTGGCCCCGCCCCAGCTCCCCGACAACCTGTAAGCGCCGGGGGGGGGGGGGGGGGAACGGGACCGACGGCGAGCAGGAGCCTGGGGGGGGGGGGTGCAGAGGGGGCTCTTTGGGACCAGAGGGAGGCTGTGGCTCTGGGGGAGCAGGTGATGGATGGGATGGGCGCTTCGGGGACCAGAGGGGGGGTGAGGAGGGCCGTCCCGCGGACAGAGCGCGGCCACGGGTCACGCCGTCCGCCCCGTGTGGGTGCAGAACGCAGCCCCTTCCTGCCGCGCCCCTACTTTAGGGAGGAGCCCCCGGGCTTTGAGGGCAAAGAGGACTATCCCCTGAGCAAGGAGGAGCTGCTGAGCTACGTGACGAAGTCGGTGAGAACTGAGAACGAACGGGCCGCCTGAGCTGGCGAGGGCGGGGCTCAGCCTCCTGGGGCCTCACTCACCCCCCCCCCCCCCCCGCCCCGCCCCAGATGGAGGCGCGGGAGCTGGTGCGGGAGCAGCACCAGAAGGAGATGATGGAGATGGCCAAGAAGATGGACAGCAGCCCGCCCCTCCCGCTCCCGGCCACCCACAGGGCCAGCTCGGGCACCCCGCTGGCCCTCTCCCGGAGCCCGAGCACCGGGCCCCCGTCGGGCCTGGGCCACCGGGCCAACGGCATCCTGGTGTCCAGCCGCCCCCCCAGCTCCAACGTGGGCCACGTCACCTTCGGCGAGCCGGGCGGGGCGGGCCCCGCCAGCCAGGCCTCCAGCGGCGGCCGCGTGGCCTTCCGGCCCGTCAGCTCCAGCAGCTACCTGGGCTCCAGCGGCTACCTGGGCTCCAGCGGCGGCGGCGCCGAGAGCGCGGGCGGCCTGCCCAGCAGGGGCACCGGCTCCGAGTCCAGCCCGGGCCCCGCCTCCAGCCCGGGCCCCGCCTCCAGCGCGGTCAGCCAGGAGTCCTGAGGCTGCAGCCGGCCACCCACCCCCTCCCTGCTCTCTGCAGGGCGACCCGAGCGTTTCTGCCCCCTGTTGCCCCCCTCCGCCGCCATTGTGCCTGCGACTCCACCTTCCTCTCCCAGCTCCACCTCTGCTCGTGTCCACCCGGCCCTTTGCCACCGGCTCTCCCTCACCTCCTCTGCCTCCCGGTTTCTCTCTCTGTTCCCGCTCTGCCTTCCCTCTCTGTCTCCCCGGCTCCTGTTCGCAATGGTTTCCCATTCGCAGTGTGTCTGTCTCCTCCAAAGTCCGCCCCTCTCCCCATCTCTGCCGACTTCTCCGGTTCTCCTCCCTCCTCCTGTTTCTGCTTCCCTGTTTCTAGTTCCTTCTCATCTCCATTCCCCAGGCTCTCCCGGCCGAGGTCCCTGTCTCGGTAGCTCCCCATTCCTCGCCCTTCCCGTGAGCCCCCAGTACCCAGCCCGAGGAAAGAATCAACCGGGGCAGAAAGTTCAGGAAATAAAGGGCAGAGCCCAACTTTACCCCAGCCTGGTAACAAGTGTCTGTGCGAGAGAGGAATCTAGACACGGCTGTTTCTTGAGCTCCAGCCCAGGGGGAAACTCATGGCCCTATTCATTCATTCATTCATTCATTTTGTTGAGGCCTCCCCATTTCAGGCTCTCCTGAGAGCTGGGCACTGTATCAGTCAGGATAGGCTGTTTTGCTGCAGTAACAAACAACCCCAGCATCTCAGTGGCTTAAAGCAACAAAGGTTTACTACTGGCCAGAGTTGGTGGCCTATTGGGGGTCAGCTCAGGGCTCTGCTCCTCCCATCTGGTGTCCCAATGGCTGTCGCTGGGAAAGAGAAAACGACAAAGCTGCCATGACTTCTCAGTCTCCGGCCTGGACACCACACATATCACGTCCGCCCACAGGTATTGACCCCAGCAGGTCAGGTGACCACACCACTCCGAAGGGTGGTGGGAAGTGCTGTTTGGAAGGAGAGGAAAATGGATGTTTGTGGATGCCCTGGGCCTGCCCCCGGGTCACAGAGAAGGTAGATTGTGTCCCTTGCCTGCTGTGGGCCGGTTTGGGAGTGAGGATTCCAACGTCACAGGTAACGCTTTCCTGCCATTGTCAGATGTCCTGTCACACATTTTTAAAAAATAGTTTTGATTTTTAGAGAGAGAGGAAGGGAGAGAGAGAGAAACATTGATGTGGTAGAGAAACATCAATTGGTTGCCTCCTGCACACCCCCTTCCCCCACTGGGGTCAAGCATGTAACCCAGGCATGGGCCCTGGCCGGGAACCGAACTGGCACCAGACAACACCCAACCAACAGCCACACCTGCCAGGACACCCTGTGGACATGTAACGCCACCAAATCAAGACGGAGAACCCATCCCAATCCAGGAGGTAATGCTCCGGGTCCCCTTCTCCTCCAGTGGGTCCATAACAGTCCGTACCTCCGAGGAATTTTTTTGAAAATGAAAAGAATCGGTGCACGCAGTAAATGCTAACACGTCTGTGATTCTGAGTGTGATGACAACAAATTAAGCAGTGTTTCCTCACCTGTCAGACAAACGGGTTGCTCTCCCTTCACCTGACCCTCCGACCAGGTAAAGCTTATCCAGTGGTCTGCCGGTAAATGCGTAACAACGGGCTCTTTGGGGAAAAGTCCTGATTTGTAGTGTGGACCCGTTCCTGGGGTGTAACAGTAGCCACCTCCCATTCCTTTTGTTCCTCGCGAAGACCTGCATTTTCGAACCGGACCTCTGGAACGCCATCCTATATAATAAAAGCCTAATATGCTAAGTGTCCAACTGTTCGTTCGACCATCTGACCAGTCGCTATGATGTGCACTGACCACCAGGGGGCAGATGCTCCAGCCGGTAGGTTAGCTTGCTGCTGGGGTCTGGCTGGTCAGGACTGAGCGAGATGGCCTGGTGCCAACATATCATGGTTCCTCCCCAGCGGCCAGCCAATCTCCCTCCGTCCCACCCCGGCCTCTAAAATATTTCTTCGAGTTAGTTTCCTTTCAATGTGCACAAATCGGTGCACTGGGGCCTCTAGTTAGTTTATATATATATATACAGTGTAAGAAAACAGCTGACCCACACAATGCAATCTTATTGGCAAAAGTGGAGAAAAGACTGACTTAAATTATACTCAATAGCACTAAAACCTAGAGAATTTCGTGATTTCCCTGGGAAGGAGGCTGACAGGCACTGCGACATGCACGCTGTGTGGCCTTGGCTGAGTGTCTTCACCTTTCTGAGCTCAGTTCCTCTTTCGGAAATCAGAGCTGGCAGTGAATCCTGAGAAATGTCATGGGGGCGTGGTCTGAGTACCAGCCCTTTTCCATCATTTGTGAGCAGGGATGATCTAGGACAATGGAAACTATCTTGCCTTTTCAGTGGAGACTCAGCTAGCCAGCATTTAAAAATAGAAATAGAACCCTAACTGGTTTGGCTCAATGGAAAGAGCATTGGCCTGTGGACTGAAAGGTCCCAGGTTCGATTCTGGTCAAGGGCACATGGCTGGGTTGCTGGCTTGATCTCCAATAGGGGACGTACAGGAGGCAGCCAATCAATGATTCTCATCATTGATGTTTCTATCACTCTTTCCCTCCCCCTTCCTCTCTGAAATCAATGAAGATATGTATTTTATTTTATAAATATAAATTTATTTTATAAATCAATATAAATATATAGATTTTTTACAGAAAGGAAGAGAGGGATAGAGAAACATCGATGAGAGAGAATCATCCAACAGCTGCCGCCTCCACACCACCCACTGGGGATGTGCCCACAACCAAGGTACCTGCCCTTGACCGGAATCGAACCTGGGACCCTCCAGTCTGCAGGCCGACGCTCTATCCACTGAGCCAAACCGGTTTCGGGCAGATATGTATTTTAAAATAAACAAATAAAAATAGAAATAGAATTAAAAAAGCATGATGCAGGGCAGGGTGGCATTTCACGAAACCGTGTTGCTGATGGGAAATGACTTCGGGATGTTCCTCAGGACAGTTTGGAAGCCGCTGGTCCAGGGCTCCCCGCTTGGTACCCTGATTTCCAGATAACTGGCCTTTCACCTCGGGGAGTCACTCCCTTTGTCCTAAAGCAAATATTTCCGGTTCCGGCCGCGCTGGCCTACAGCGATCCGCCGCCAGGTGGCGCCCGTGTCCCGCCCTGAGCGGGTTCTGCTCTGTCTTCATCTCTGAAGATGTGCCTTTTCCTGAAAATTCCGTAGAAATGGAATCATACAATCCGGGTTTGTGCAAAATACTCTTGTACGGATCACACAATGTGCATCGTACAATCCAGCGATTCCACTTCGATAGTTCCCATCAGGAGAAATGGTGGTTTTATCGGCAGTGTCTGCAGTATCTACAGTGAGTACACAAGGCTCTCTTACAGGAAACTTAACTAAAAGGTAACCCACAGCTGAAACCGGTGTGGCTCAGTGGATAGAGCGTCGGCCTGCGGACTGAAAGGTCCCAGGTTCAATTCCGGTCAAGGGCATGTACCTTGGTTGTGGGCACATCCCCAGTGGGAGGTGTGCAGGAGGCAGCTGATCAATGTTTCTCTCTCATCGATGTTTCTAACTTTCTATCGCTTTCACTTCCTCTCTGTAAAATATCAAATATATATATATATATATATATATATATATATATATATATATATATATATATATAAGGTGACCCACAGGGCAGCAAAAAAGAACAAGTAACCCTGCCAACCCCCCTCCTTCCAGCTGATCGACGACTCTCATCGATGTTTCTGACTCTCTCCCTTTCCCTTCCTCTCTATAAAAAAAATCAATAAAATATATATTCTTTAAAAAATAGAACTGCTTTATGACTCAGCGAATCCACTTGTGGGAATATAGCCAAAGAAACCTGAAACGCTAATTCAAAAGAAAGCATGCACCCCTGTCCACTGCAGCACTATCTGCAATAGCCAAGATCTGCAAACAGCCCAAGTGCCCATCAGTAGGTGCGTGGATAAAAAAGCTGTGGTACACGTACTCAGTGGAATACTATGCAGCTGTAAAAAAGGAAATCTTATTTATGACAGCTTGCAGGAACTTGGAGATGATTGTTAAGCGAAATAAACCAGTCAGAGAAAGACAAACACTGTGTGATCTCTCTTATACGTGGAAGTTGATGAACAAAATAAACCAGCAAACAAAAGAGGGCCAGAGGCATGGGTGCACGGAATAGATGGACAGATCTCCAGAGGGGATGGAGGTGGGGGCACTGGAAGAAATTAGCCAAAGAACATTTATGTACATGGGCACAGACCATGGATTCAATGTGGTGAAGGCTGGGGTGGGAGTTGGGGGAGGACCAGGGACTGGTGGGTAGAGGGGAGCAAAGGGGAGACATCTGTAATACCCTGTTTCCCCGAAAATAAGACAGTGTCTTATATTAATTTTTGCTCCCAAAGATGCGCTAGGTCTTATTTTCAGGGGATGTCTTATTTTCCCATGAAGAATATGGTACACATTTATTGTTAAATGAAAATAAAGGAAAGCTATTTCCTGTATACGGTACGGTAGTACGGTAGTTGTCAACACAAACCAGCCAAGCTGTGAATCCTACAGTATCAAGAATTTACTCATTTATTCAATGACAATCATGTCCTCATCTTCTGGAACATCATCATAACAATCCGATTCCTGAATTTCCTGTTGAATTTCTTGTGACTCCATTTCTTTCAGAATCAGTGGACCAAATCTCTCATGTTTAGCCTGGGGGGGGGCTTATTTTCGAGGGAATGCCTTATATTTCACTCAGAAGGAAACCTGTAAGTAGGTCTTATTTTCGGAGGATGTCTTATTTTCAGAGAAACACAGTGGTGTCAACAACTGGGGGGAAAAGATGAAGGTTAAAAGCTTTCAGTATCGTATCTTCACAGGCTTTCTTTCCAGTGTGAAACTCCCCATGTCTGTACGATGCAAGAGCCAACGGAAGACTTTCCCCTATCCGTTAACTTGTTGAGCTCCCTTCCAATATGTCCTCCCCACTCATTCAGGATTTAAAAAAAATATATATATATATTTTATTGACTTTTTACTGAGAGGAATGGAGAGGGAGAGAGAGTTAGAAACATCGATGAGAGAGAAACACTGATCAGCCGCCTCCTGCACACCCCCCACCAGGGATGTGCCTGCAACCAAGGTGCGTGCCCTTGACCGGAATTGAACCCGGGACCCTTCAGTCCGCAGACCGACGCCTCTATCCACGGAGGCACACGGGTCAGGGCTCTTTCAGGATTTTGAGAAAAGCAAAGCCTTCTGCACGGCCCTGTCCTTCCGAGCACGGCCTCTCTCTGCGGTGCTTCTTCAGGTGGCACCGGAGGGACGTGCTATTGGTGTAGCCCTGCCCGCACTCCGCACACCGGTAGGGCCTCTCTCCCGTGTGCAGCCTCGTGTGCACGGCCAGCTTCCAGGCCTTGTGGAAGGCCCTCCCGCACTCCGCGCACGCGTGGGCCTTCTCCGCGAGGTGCCTGCGGGCGTGCCGGTCGCGGTGCAGGGAGTGGCGGAAGGCTTGCCCGCATTCCTGGCACACGTGGGGCTTCTCTCCGGTGTGGAGGCTCAGGTGTCTCAGGAAGAAGGCGCGGTAAATGTAGGACTTCCCACAATCCCGGCATTTGTAGTTTTTCTCTCCCATCTGCGTGCTGCTGCGGGGCCCGGCACCGTGCGGACCGCGGGCCAAGCTTTTCCCGCCGTGATTATCCTGGGTCTTGGTCGGCGCTGTGCCAGGTTGCACCTGCCCGGCGGGCGTGGAGGTCCCCCGGGGGATGTTTGCAAGCTCCTCGGCCTTGAACGCTTGCTCTTGAACGCGAGTCTCGTGCGCCCCAAGGACGCAGCCTTCCGGGAGGACGTTCCCCGGCAGGCCCCATTCGCAGACAGGGACCCCCCGAAATGCTTTATCAGGCGCAGGAAGCACGTGATTGCGATCCTTGGCCCGTGTGACCGATGGCCGCCCTGTCGGAGTTCTCACCCGTGGAGCTGACCGGATGCCCTGCCACCGTCCTCTGTCGTCCTGGCTGTTCCCAGAGGTTTTGCGATTCCTCCTGAAGGCGCAATGTGGATCCGAAGTATTTGGGGGGGAAGTATTTGGAGGGGTGTGTCTTCTTGGGGAGTCTCCCTGTGACGGCACCCACTCTGAGCTGGGTTCAGGGTCCTCCCCGGCCTCAGGGACCTGCACCAGGCGGCCGTCTCCCTCGTGGGCAGCCGCCACGCGCCCCGCCTCCGGCCCCCTCCGCCGGTGCGGCTCCTCTGCGCGGACTCCTCCTGATGTGGGATTGTCCCTTGTCAAACACACTCCGCTGGCTTCACAAAGTGTGTTCTTAGCAAGACTGTCCTGCTGGGGGGCTGTGTCTTTGGTTTTCTGTCCAATCACCTTGCCTAAAACACAGGGCACAGAAGTTAAGTTCTTTTTTTTAAAATATATATATTTTATTCATTTTTTTACAGAGAGGAAGAGAGAGGGATAGAGTTAGACACATCGATGAGAGAGAATCATCGGTCAGCTGCCTGTTGCAAGCTCCCCACTGGGGATGTGCCCGCAACCAAGGTACATGCCCTTGACGGAATCGAACCTGGGACCTTTCAGTCCGCAGGCCGACGCTCTATCCACTGAGCCACACCGGTTTTGGCAGAAGCTACGCTCTTTGTTGAAAGTAAAGATGGGCTGGAGAGGGTCGAACAGGTAAATGGCCGTGCGGGCTTCTTTCCTTTCCTAAGAAGCGTTCAAGTTATTTTTATTGACTTTAGAGAGAGGAAGAGAGAGGGGTAGACACATCTGTGAGAGAAACATCGATGGGCTGCCTCCTGCAGGCCCCCTACTGGGGATTCAGCTCAAAACCCAGACATGTGCCCTGACTGGGAACTGAACCACGACCTCCTAGTTCAGTGAATGGCAAACCGCTGTTAACCTAATGAGTTTGCCAACCAGTGGGCTAGGCTAAATGTTACCGTGTAGTGGGCAGCTGTGAGGAGTAGGCAGTTGTGGCATATTGTGTGCAAAGAGGTAAAGGGCAGACTAGGACAGTGGTCGGCAAACTCATTAGTCAACAGAGCCGTGGTGTGCCGACCACTGTCCTAGTTCATGGGCTGACAACTCTCAACCACTGAGCCACACTAGCCAGGCTAACATGCTTAAAAAAAATTGATTTCAGCCCTAACCAGTTTGGCTCAGTGGATAGAGTGTCGGCCTGTGGACTGAAGGTTCCCAGGTTCGATTCCAGGCAAGAGCATGTAGGAGGAAGCTGATCAATGTTTCTCTCTCATCAATGTTTCTAACTGTCTGTCCCATCTCCCTTCCTCTCTGTAAAAATCAATGAAAAAAAAAAAATATATATATATTTTAATTGATTTCAGCCCTGGCTGGTGTTGCTCAGTGGTTAGAGCATTGCCTGCCAACAGAAGGGCCTCAGCGGGCCCCTAGGTTTGCTTTTGGCTGTCTGAGTCTCCCCACATAGACTCTCTCTGGGTGCATTTCTTTCCCGCAAATAAGTTCTCACCAGCTGTGGCTGCTATTTATCTCTTGCTTGAATGCTTTTGTACGAGAAGACAAGGACTGAGGACGCAGAGCGCGGTCTCTGATCATCGCAGACCAGATTTCCAGTTCCTCCGGGGCGACCTGGCCTACCGGCAGCAGCCGTGTCTCTGGACGGTCACCAGCCGGGCCCCTTCCAGCTGCCTCCTGAACCCGGGAGGGCCCGCCCCCATCCCCTCCCCCCCCTCCCCTCCGGGCACAGGAGGGGCCCCTCACCCACGGAGGCCAGGTTCCGGAGGTTCTCCAGCATCACGTCACGGTAGAGGTCCCTCTGCTCCGGGGCCAGCAGGGCCCACTCCTCCTTGGTGAAGTTCAAGGCCACGTCCGCGAAGGTGACCTCGTCCTGGAAGGAAACACTGGCGTTGGCTCCCCGGGGGGCCTTACAGGTGGCACTGTGTCCCCTCCCAAAGACATGCTGCCATCCTAGCCCCCGGGCCTTCAATGTGAGCTGATTTGCAAACAGGAGCTTTGCAGAGACAAAGGAACTAAGATGGAGGTCACCCGGGAGCAGGGTGGGCTCCTGGGACGGGGAAACCTGGACAGACCCACAGAGGGAAGGCGTCACAGGACGACGGAAGTGCAGACGGGGGTGCAAGGTCCGTCCACTGCACACAAGGCGTCCCCAGCTGGTAGCTCAGGGGAGGGCTCTTTCCTTTCAGCCAGACTGAGCTTGGTGCAAAGGAAGTTCATCCTAAAAATGCTCCTGGAAGCTTGAAAATGCAGTTGAAGTACCCATAATGCCTCTGTAATTATTCCAGGTGTGTGTACACACCTCAGCGGCTGATAACGCACTTAATTTTCACTCCTAGGGAGGATCCAAGATGGCTGCACAGGTAGACACCTAGCCGCAGCTGCACACAACAATTTCAATAACATACAACTAAAATATAAAATGGACATTGCCCAGAACTACAGGAAAGTGGACTGACTGGAAATTCTACAACGAGAAGCAAGGAGAAAACCAGAAGGAGGCGCGGAGGAGCTGTAAAAGCCTAAGGTACGGAGACACGTGGCGCACGGAGAGGACGGAGCCGGAGAGGAGGGGGCAGCTGAGTGCCTGGCTGGCGTTCCCCAGCGGGAAGGAGATAAAAGCTCCAGACTGTGCTGAGCCCCAGACCCAACAGCGCTTAACCCCAGTTCTAGGCCAGACTCAGGGGACCCAGGCTCATCCAGAGGGAGCTGGGCTGTAAGGCGGAACCCCGGGGGAGCAGTGAAAGGAGGTCCCGGAGGCTCGCACATTGGGCGCAGAGAAGGGACAGTTGGCTGTGCCTCGGGATTGCCCTGGCGGGAAGGAGACAGACTGCTCTGTACGCCACCTCCAACTCCACTTCCAACTGAACTGAACCCCAGTTCCGGGCTCATTGGGGGAGAGCCTAGATTGTTTGGTAGCAGGCAAAAATCGAGGGCACCTTTCTCCCAGAGGTGCTTGCAGTGAGTACTGAAGGACCCTGGGGATTTCTGAGACTCAGGAACCACATAGGGCATGGCTGATGGAAGCCAAGGCTGTAGGCTCCACCCTGAAACTCCGCCCCATCAGGGAAGCTGCAAAAATGCCGAGACAACGAAATAGATCACAAACGAAAGAAATGGAGGACAAAAAGCGCCTGGATATAGAGTTCAAATCCACACTTATAAGGTTTTTCAGGAATTTCCTAGAAAAGGTCAATAAGACCTATGAGGATATGAAAAGGGATCAACTAGAATTAATAAGGAATAAACAAGAAATGATAAGGGATCAACAAGAAATAAAGAATACATTGTCTGAAATAAAAAATATTATACAGAGTCCTAAAAACAGAATGGAAGATCACAAGAATCAAGTCAAAGATTTGGAACATAAAGAGTCAGAAGACACTGCTCTGCAGAAGCAAGAAGGCAAGAGAACCCAGAAAATTGAAGATAATGTAAGAAACCTCTGGGACAACTACAAGCGAACCAACATCAGAATTATGGGGGTCGCAGAAGAAGAGAGACAGCAAAATACCGAAAACATACTGGAAGAAATAGTGACAGAAAACTAACCCCACGTGGTGAAAGAATTAGACTTACAGAAGCACACAGAACTCCAAATAAAAGGAATCCAAAGAGGACCACACCAAGACAAATCTTAATTAAAATTCCAAGAGCAAAAGACAGAGAGAATATTAAAAGCAGCAAGAGCAAAGTTACCTATAAAGAAGCACCTATATGATTGTCAGCTGATTTCTCAATAGAAACCATGCAGGCCAGATGGGAATGGCAAGAAATATTCAAGGTGATGAATAGTAAGAACCTACAGCCAAAGATAATCTACCCAGCAAAGCTATCACTCAGAATCGAAGGCCAGATAAAGAGCTTCACTAATAAAAAAAAAAGCTAAAGGACTTCATCACTACCAAACCAGAATTATATGAATTGCTGAAGGGGTTCTTTCAGAAGAGAAAGTAAATAAAGATAAAAACTATGAACAACAAATACGTAACTATCAACAAGTGAATCTAAAAACCAAGGAAATTAAAAAAAATCTGATGAACAATATTAACTGGTGAATATAATAGAATCAGCGGTATGGAAGGGGAGTGAACTGACAATCTTGGGGAAAAGGGGAGAGGGGGGTGTGGGAAGAGACTGAACATAAACTGTGCACCTATGGATGAGGACAATGGGGGGTGGGGAAAGGGCAGAAGGTGGGATGGGAACCTGGTGGAGGAGAGCAATGAGGGGGGGTGGGGGGAAGGAACATTTGTAATAATATGAACAATAAAAATTTATTAAATTTTTTTTCACTCCTTTTCAGGTTTACCTGATTTAAAAAAATGGGTGAAGCCAGACTCAACTTGAAACAAGGATCATTTATCTAATAGACTTTTTAATGGGGATACATCAAAGAAAAAGTTTAAGGCACAAAATTGGCAGCAGTGTAGGAATTGAGGGCGCACATTCGCCCAACAGAATGATTCTGGATGTTAGCGATTCCACTGCTTCGAGTTGCCAGCAGAGCGTGAACCAGAAGGTCGCCACTTTGAAAACAGGCATTGACAAAAAGTATAAAAATAAAATAAATTATATATATATATATATATATTTTTTTTTAAATATTTTTTTGCCCTAGCCCAGTGGTCGGTCGGCAAACTCATTAGTCAACAGAGCCAAGTATCAACAGTACAACGATTGAAATACCTTTTGAGAGCCACATTTTTTAAACACGCAGGTGGAGTCCACACTCACTACGGCGCCATTCCAGGGGTAGGCGGTCCTCTTAAAGGTCCGAACCACAGGAATATTCCTTTGTTCTAAATCCTAAAGGCTGGGGACATTGGAATGTGGCCCCGTCTTGTGAAAGCAGATAGTACAGAAGTAGAACTGAGCAGTTATCTACAGTTTCTACCCCTGAAGCTACTGAGTCCGTGGGAATCAATCTGCTGTAGTTCTGGTCCACAGGCTCAGGAAAATTTCCTCAGCCTCCAGGTCTCCATCTGGAAGCTGAGGTAACTACCCTATTGTTTAAGCAAGTGAGCGAGTGCCGAAGCCGGAAGAGCAGGGTTAAAATTCAAATGGCAGTTTTTACCCAAGTATGGCTGCTACCATCTTTCAGTCAGCATCAGCACTCCGCCAGTCTCTGCAAAGAAGATGGCTCGGAGGGAGCGCTCCAGATCTCCCTCCCCCGACATGTGACACGTTTGGCTGAAGGAAATGGGCACACAACCCCCCACGCTCCCGGGAAGAGACGATGGTTAGGAGAATGAATAAGCAGGAAGCAAAGAGAAAAGGCTGGCCCAGGAGCAGGACATACACCAAACGGGTGTCTGAGGTGTCTTGAAGTTCTGGAAGACAAAGAAACATCCTAGGAAGAGGGCGAAGAGACCGCCTGCCAGGCGTGGCTCTGGGGTTGAGGGTTGGCCTAGGAACAGGAGGTCAAGGTCTGATTTCCAGTCAGGGCACAGGCCCGGGTGGTGGGGCCCACACCCAGGGTGGGGTGTGCAGGAGGCAGCCGGTGGTTGGAGACAGGGTGCGAGCTGACAGGGTCCTTCCATTCGAGGGGGCTAACGAGGCCGGCCCCCTACCCCACACCGCGTTCCCAGGCTGGTTTGGATGGCGACTATCAGTAGATGAGAGCCACCTTTCATGGCCTGCCAAGAAGTCTGTAACCATTTACTGAGGTTTGTTGTGCTGAGAATCTGTCCTTCTGCCGTCTCTCCCTTAGAGATTAAGAGGAACAAAGAATGCATTCCCCTTGACAGCCCTCCTACTCAGTGTTTTGTGTATAAAAAGCATTGTGTGTGCTGCTGAAACCGGTGTGGCTCAGTGGATAGAGCTTCGGTCTGCGGACTGGATGGTTCCGGGTTGGATTCTGGTCCAGTGCATGTACCTTGGTTGCAGGCACATCCCCAGTAAGGGGGTGTGCAAGAGGCAGCTGGTCGATGTCTCTCTCTCATCGATGTTTCTGACACTCTATCTCTCTCCCTTCCTCTCTGTGAAAAATCGATAAAATATATTTTTAAAAAAGTATTGGACAGTTAATAAACCTGCTAGTCGGTCAATGGCTACCTGTAGTCCTCACGACTCCGCTCTCCTCTCTCTCTCTCTCTCTCATATATATAATAAAAACCCGGTGCCATCCTATCAGTAAGAAAGGGACACCCCACACCCCACCACCCGTGCCTCGGGCATCTAAGTACCAGCCCAGAGGTTTCAGATAAGGGACGGCATTCCACTGCTATCTGGAGTTGGTGGTTTCCAAGGAAACGGCCAGACGCGATGATAAACCCTAAGCAGCGGCTTCAGCCTTCCCGGCAGGGATGGACCCGGCCCCCTGGGCCAGGGGGTTCCTGTGGAGCGCAATAGCGCAATGCAACCGGGGCAGGCAGTGGTCGGCAAACTCATTAGTCAGCAGAGCCAGATATCAACAGGACAACGACTGAAATCTCTCTGGAGAGCCAATATTTTAAACTTAAACTTCTTCTAACGCCACTTCTTCAGCATAGACTCGCCCAGGCCGAGGTGCTTTGTGGAAGAGCCACCCTCAAGGGGCCAAAGAGCCGCAGTTTGCTGACCACGGAACCAGGCCCTCCCTCGCTCAGGGTGTCCTTTTACAAACTCCCTCCGCGGGGGTCTCCGTTCCCCCGAAGGAAGGACGTGCCTGTCTGACCGAACTCAAACCCGAAGCCGGGTCCCTGGAGGAGCCGGGAGCCGCCCAGCTCGCCGCCCTCACCCGGCTCCAGCGCGGGCCAAGGGTTCGGATCCCAGCCGCCCGGCTCCGCGGCCCGGCCCTCGGGGTCTCCCCGGGTCAAGGGCGCTTTGCGCGGTGGTGGCACCCCCGCCCTGCCCCAAGGAGAGGGGGTCCGGGCGCAGCACGTGGGCCGCTCCGGCTCCCTCGGGTCTCCCGGGCTTCGGGGACCCGGCTCCCGGCCCGCCCCGCCCCGCGCACTCACCAT